TAAAATTTCGAATCACCATAAAAATGCATGTGAACCAGAAGGGCATAAATTCTAGATTTTAATGAGAAATATACCATAGTTCTCACTGAAATAAAAAGGTAAAATGTAAATATGTCTCATAGTCATTTTATTCATCAATCATTTGCTGAGTCTTTTGGACAATGTAAATAGATACTTGATTATGAAAAATTATATAATTTCAGTACTTATTTTAAAATATTCAACATACTCCCCCACAACAATTTATAACTAAAATAGAAAAATACAAAACTTAATTCATTATAGAATAGATCTATCTATATTTAGGAAATGAATTGATTTATTTGTGTTTTGCAAAATGTAATTTTTCTCTAAACTAAGTATAAACCTGTACGTATTTTCGGTACATGTAGCTATGCCAAAGTAATTGACAAACAGTAGACTAAAGGTAACGACACAAATTCCAAAATCAGAAAATTGCATTTCTGAACACTTTTAGATGATTTCACACATGAGAGCATGGTTTGATAAAAAACATGGTAGCTCTAAACCTCTAAAATTAGAGGGTTCCATTTTTGTGTCACCCTGTAGAACATTACCCATAAAAGGTTTGGATTTACATGTATGTCTATTTTAACAATTAATGCATGACTTCTGACTTCAGGTTCTTACAATTCAATATAAATGAAGTTAAGTTTTAATATTTTTAGGTTGAAATGTTGTGAAGTAAAGGCTGTTGGACTACAGTAGGATGGAAACAGAAACCCATTATGAACTGAAGAAATAATAACTATTCAACAAAAAAACACCAATATCTTACAAAAGGGATTTAATGACAATTGAATGGAAAAAAATACAGAAGATATAACAGTAAGATAATTTCATAGAACATTCAGCAAAAATCAAGACAGTTAAAATAATTAAAAAAATACAGACAAACATTGACATTTTCAGCAATCCTTGAAACAATCATCAAACAGATAGTCAAGATGACCGACTTAGCCACAAAGATCAAATATATCTCTCTGATATTCACACCGACAGTCTTCCTTCTAGGCTTGTTAGGTAACACGATGAGCTTTATTGTTATGATACGTAAGAAAAATCGTTCACAGAACACATGCTTCAGCCTTGCCATCATCGCACTTGTTGACAACGCCCAAATGATCACGCTCATCTGTAACTGGATCCACGGGGTCCTCAACTCGAAGGATGACAACAGCTGTAAGCTTATCATCTACTTTGTGGACTTGTTCATGGAGACATCAATTTATTTCATAATCATTATGACGATAGATAGAGTCATGACTGTATGTTTCCCTTTGAAACAATATGGGAACTCTACAAAAAAGTTAGGTGTTGTTTTCGGGGCTGTGTTTCTCTTTCTGGTCTTAAGAAACATACCATTCTATATATTTGGCTTCAGTACAATGGATCAATCCACAGGTACTACTATATGTGTGGTGTATGACCAAGCCCTATCAACTCCACTTGTCAAAGTTTTGCCTTGGTTCGACATCTGTTTTCAAACTCTTGTACCATTTGTCATTCTTGTGATATGTAATGGTATTATAATTCACAAGTTGCGACTCAGGGCAAAGCAGGTTGCAAATTTAGGGGTCAATGAGGTCACTCAAAATTTGGTAGTTTCTCAAAATTCAGTTACGGTAATGTTACTTTTTGTTTCATTTGCAGTTCTGATTCTGACCCTCCCGTTTAATATTCTCGTTCTCTTTGGACCACTGGTAGAATCAGGCAAAATAGATCCGGAAACATTCAGTGTAACATTTTGGATAATGTTTAACCTTTATTACGCAAACAATGCCGTCAACTTTTATCTATGTTTGATGGGTGGTAGAGGTTTCCGAAAGGATGTGCGAATGCTGTTATGTCGTAAACAAAATGCTGTCACTGTCGTTCAAAGCATCAACACTGGTATACTCGTAACAAATGGGCTGTGATTCAATTCACTTTGAAGCATTGATCAACCTCATTGGTTATAATTACCCAAATCTTTGAACTCACTGAGCCAATTGGGGGATCCCTAAAAAAACTACCACTCTCATTGGTTAAAGGCAAAAGTTTACTGGTCCAAATCATAGGGTAGACTAGGTAGGACTCAACAGTTAAAAATAATCTAGGGTAGCACTCAAAATTGGTTAAACTGATTGTAATCATAGGGTAGTGCTCAAAATTGTTTAAACTGGTTCTAATCACAAGGTAGTGCTCAACAGCACATTGCTTAAACTGGTTCTAATCATATGGTAGTGCTCAAAATTGTTTAAACTGGTTCTAATCACAAGGTAGTGCTCAACAGCACATTGCTTAAACTGGTTCTAATCATATGGTAGTGCTCAAAATTGTTTCAACCTGTTCTAATCATAGGGTAGTGCTCAACATTGATTAAAAGCAAAAGTTCATTGGTCTAAATCAAAGGCCGAGGCTACTGCAAAACATGATGATCTCAGATTATATTAATTTGAACATAAAACCCAACAGCCAAAGGCAACTATAGAAAAACTTGATACCCTTCTCCTGGCATTATAACTTGAATGTCAACTTCTGAAACATGCAGTTTAATTAAAACGGTAACAAAGACTGGGATGAGTTAAAAGTAGCTTTCTAAAAAATGATTCTGATATTTTTTGTTTATTTGGCAATTATTTGGAAAAAATCAGATTTCCTTATTCAATTCTGATAAATAAGGACAAATCTGCATCTTAAATACTGATTAGGCCTAACTTATTTGCTTAGATAGCTAATTATATTTCAGATGATCAATTGCATTTGGATATTTTTTGAAAAGATGTAAAAATGTATAAATTCTGTATTGTGATGGTTTAATGACCTAACTCTCTTGGACTTTATTTTCCATTAATGAGATATATCATATTTTCACAAGTATCATATGTCCATTCATGGTTAATTAAGAAAGGTGTTACAGGATAACATGTTATATTTTTATTTAATAAGAGTCATTAACCGGATTTACACTTCACTCATGTGTCTCATACATCAAACATTGTGATCTTAAGATAACTCCAGTTTCTCAAGAGAACTTGCCTAAGATGTCTCAGTCAAAACATTTGGGACCAAAGCAAGATGTCTTAAAACGTAAAAGATGTCCTACTATTGGTTTTAGCTTTGAGCTCTTACCCAGTTTTAGATATATTGTAAAGAACAAAAACCGCATTCAAAGAACAAGATCTTTGGCAGATCTTTCTTATACTGTATGTGCCTTTTATAAGTTGAAAACCTTGCCACACATTTTCTGTTTTTTATCACACTTTTTTAGAATTTATTTCCTTGATCTGTATATATCTAAAAAAACTATTTTCCTTAAAAAGGGTATAAACAGGATTGCAATCGCTTTAAACAATGACTTCCATTGCCTTCAGTCAATGCTGAACTGATGGTTCTTGAATTTTTCTTCTAGATCCACCTGTTCAAAGTGTGAACTCAAATATGAAAAGAATAAATGTAAATGCCTATAATACCCTCGGGCGATTGAAGCATATACTTTGTATATCTTGTAAGTAAATAAATAAATATATCTTTTCCTGAATTTTCGTAAGAGCTCTGAGCGAAAACCCCTTGGAATGCTTTATATACATGACGTGTAAATAGGTCTAGTGTCTGTGTTACATGTTGTAATATGTGTTGATGTACATTTAATCAGCATCATATGAAATATATTCGTCAAGATACAAACTTAATTATCACGTGGTTAGGAGTTCCTAAGCGGTATGATTGGTCAATTGTGATGATGATTGGTCAATTCTGTATTATATGGCGCAGGAATAATTTTCATTTGATACATTGGACTGTATTACTACGGAGTCATTAGAAATGATGTGATGTCATTAGTTATATAACTTCATTACTGAAAACAATTGTATGACGTTATTTCTTATGTAATGCAATATGGAAGCTTGTCATAGTCACTGAAGAAAATATTCTCCATTCAACATCAAGATTGGTAAACGAACAGGATATCCCTAAAAGATCAATTCATTGCACTAATGAAAGCCCTAGACTTGTGATAAAATTTTTACACGTTTCAGCTTATGTGATGTAAGAAACATTCCTCTCAGGTAATCATGAATCACAACTCAAGGTTCGCTTCCGTGGATGATACATTTCTACCTTTTGTGGAATACTTAATTTCCTGTATCACATGCGATGCTGTAACGTGCGATAGTACTTTTCTTTCCTGGGCAATATATGTCCACTTTGCTCAACTTCATTGCCTATCAAAAGATCTTAAAAATATACAACAAAAAAATCAAAAATAGCCATCTGAAAATTAACCCACCCAACAGGCCCAAAAACTATAATTCTGTTCTAGATATTTCCAAATCAATCCATCAAGCAGTAGCATTTGTTTTTCAATACTTAAATCTCTGAAAGATTGCCTTCTAAAATGTTATGATGCATACATGATATTTGATATTAAGTGTCACTCATGTAATGTCCATTACACATTTTAGTAATTGAATGTTGAAATTTGATATCGAATGTAACCCTTTATTCTAGCTTATTTAATAATTGCCTCACGACTGATTTTTCATGAGTGCCTCTGTATTTCATAATTCATATCTAGTTGATGATCCTTCTAAAATTTTAGATAATATAGATATACAGTATTTTAATTTATTTTGTTAATGAATAAATGTGTTTATGGTTTAAATTAGGTAGAATTATAAAACAAAACAAAATGTTGTGTTTGTTTTTTGACCATGGGGCTAGATCAGGATGTTGTATGTGTTGAGGGAGTCTGAAGATCCCAAACCTCATTGATTCTTTCTAGACATCAGCAGTCAACCCCCCCCCCTCAACTAACCAGAAAATCCTTGAGTCAGAGACGACATATTCTGTGTTTACTCTAATTGCCACCATCGTATATGACCATAATGTCACTTAAATCTACAGATTAGTATAAGTTGTCTTCAATTTCAGATATTTTCAAGAGACACATAATGAGAGTAGAATTAAAAGTGAAGATTTTTTGCAAGGGTTACCTCCATGTCCTCGTAGCAGGCACTGGGATTGGCAGCCATGGTTTCCCAGATTTCGCGGGCCCTGTGCCAGTGAAGGTACAATACTCCCTCTTGTAGAATAAACTGAAGGAAGTTTAGGTGTGTCGTCATGTACTGAAAAGAAAGCATTCGAGTGATAAGAAAAATGCATGGCAACATGGTAGACACAGTTAATGAAAACGCAGGCTATTTTCTTTCAGAACAATGTCATACATTTATGTAAAAACATAATTTGCTCAGTAAAAACTAGATAACAGCAAAACCAAGGTATATGGATGGTTTGCTAAAAGATAACTTTATTTCATGTTTTATACAAGGCCTTTTTACCATACCAAACCCTAGTATAATTGTCACATTGACTTGAGACTGTTACAATTATAACACATGTATTTCTTTAAAATGAGGACCAGACGGTGGTTAGGATAGACAATTACGCAAGGCAGTTGTAAATAGGTGAATCAGGCAAATACATTTCCACAAAATTGGCTTGATTCGAAAGCCTTGCTCCTGGCTACATGCTTGAGGACTTTTTAATTACAAAGGGGTGAAAAGGTGAACTATTATAAAATCTCATTTCCTCACCAAACCCAACACACGTCTTTAACTTATAAGAACTCTCCTAGGGACGCTTGAAAGGTAAAATTACGAACATGACCACCTTCTTCCTTTTTGTTTAATTAAATTGGCTATCACGTGTTGTCTTGCAGCAATCAGTAACACGTCATCAATCTATTCATAAGAGAATTATTTCCTAGCTCAAATTTCTGTTATCTAACTTGTTTTCAACTTCGCTTCAAGTTGTAATTGACCTGGTCATCCTGATGTGCATTTTTATATATTTTTTTTATTATTGTCTGGTTATAAAGCCATTGTTTATAATCTCAGTGATCTCCCCAGCATTAAAGCAAGTGGGTGTAGCACCCACCTGAGATTTTGAAAATAGGCTTGCATCCACCTGAAAATCCATTTGCACCCACTTGAAAATGAGAAAAATTGGCATATTTTGGTCTGAATTTTGAACCCACCTGAGAAAAAATCCTGAGGAGATCACTGCATCTACATGCATTCACATTTTGCTATGACAAGAAAATATCTCTTACAGACCATGTTTTAATATACATTTTACTGTTGCCAGAAATTGTTTAATGGAAGTTGGTTTGCATAATCTCTCATCTTTAAATGAAAGCACCCTCACAACTGTAGAGTCATTCAAAATTTCAATTTGGCTCTGTTCAGGAGCTCTGCTCAAGAAGAAATTTTCTATCATAACCAGAACAACGGCAACGCCAAAGCGTAGCGAATCCCATCGAACAGCCATGGATGGCATTTTTACAAACAAAGTATATAGCAAAAATGGCAGGCATTTTTCAAAATGGCCGCCTTCTACCAAAAGTGTCATTAGACCATTTGCCATAATAATAGTATTCACATATCAAATATGAACAAAATCGCTCCACTACTTTCCGAGTTATAGTAAAATACGTTAAAATGGTGGCCATTTTGAAAAATGGCCGCCTTCTACCAAAAGTGTCATTAGACAGTGTGCCATCCTTATAGTATTCACATACCAAATATGAACAAAATTGCTTCACTACTTTTCGAGTTATAGTAAATTAGGTTAAAATGGCGGCCATTTTTCAAAATGGCGGCCATTTATTAAAATGGCCACTTTCTACAAAAAGTGTCTTTAGACAGTGTGCAATGTTTATAGTATTCACATACCAAATATGAAAAAATCACTCCAATACTTTTCGAGTTATAGTAAAAAAAATTAAAATGGCGGCCATTTTGAAAAATGAATTATAGTATAATACCATAATAATAGTATTCACATATCAAATATGAACAAAATCGCTCCACTACTTTCCGAGTTATAGTAAAATACGTAAAAATGGCAGCCATTTTGAAAAATGGCCGCCTTCTACCAAAAGTGTCATTAGACAGTGTGCCATCCTTATAGTATTCACATACCAAATATGAACAAAATCGCTTCACTACTTTTCGAGTTATAGTAAATTAGGTTAAAATGGCGGCCATTTTTCAAAATGGCAGCCATTTTTTAAAATGGCCACTTTCTACCAAAAGTGTCTTTAGACAATGTGCAATGTTTATAGTATTCACATACCAAATATGAACAAAATCGCTCAACTACTTTTCGAGTTACAGCAAAAATCGTAAAATAATGAGTAAAGGCCGCCATTTTTCAAGATGGCTGCCATGTGCTTCTTTAATATCTACATTTCTAGCTTTATTAATGTCCTATATAATTTTTTTACATCTAAAACATATTGCTATTACAGTTTTACATATTGCACCTAAATTACTGTAAATTCGGCACTAAAATGGCCGCCATTTTGAAATGAGTGGCCATTTTGAAAATCTACCCCCATAGGGTATATGTGTAAAAAATATGAACAAGATCGGGCCAACGGTATTTGAGTTATTGCCCGGACGGACTGACGGATGTACGTACAGACGGATGGACGGACGGAGAGATGGACGGACGGACAGATGGACGGACGGACGGAGGCGTTCCCTGTCTTTGCTTAATAGGCATTTTTGGTATGTCTACTTTTTTCAAAATGGCCACCACTTTCACAAAAATGAAATGTTTGATTATATGACATGATTATTGAGTCAATAAAAGATATATATCTTGAATACCAGTTAACAGATTTGCTCCTTCGGAGAACATTGACACAATGAATAATTCCTCGAAAATCATATCATGAGAGATGGGTGCAACTTGGTTTTCAGGTGGTTTTTTATTGTAAATAAAGTTCCAGAATTCCATTTCATGATTAAACATATGTGAGCTTATCTATAATTAGTCAAAACGCATTCTTTCTTCAACAGCCTTGATTATAAAATTAACACACATGCCTCTGTGCCTTGTCACTTGACAACAACCTGACTCAACCATATTAACCTCTTGAATCCCATGCTCTAAAACCAGTTGAAACCAGAGATTTTTTCATTTTTGCCACCTTTTGACATTATACTACATACCTCACAGCTACAGATGCTCAACTTGGCAAAATTAGACGGCAGAGATTTCTACACATTTTAAAAAAAATTTGTGTAAATTGGATGAAAATTGTTCAAATAAGAGCGTTTTTAGTGAAAAATTTTGTGATGGATTTTCTTGTCACTCTGGGTTTCGAGGTCATTTCTTAGGTGACGAGAAATCTCATCACTCCAGGTAGTCAAGAGGTTAAATCCAAAGATCTAATATATAGCACTTAGTAACAGTATTCATTACTAGTTCGTGTTGTACATTATTAAGACACCAAAGATGATCGCAATAGCTCACAATGACGAACTGAAAATTGACACAACATGACCATTGCATGTAACATCCCTATAAACAAGGGAACAATTGACATCAACGAACATTTAATATCTTCATTACTCACGTCTCTGTGCTCGTATCTGCCATCTATTAAGGTCAATGGAGCTAAATCCGTTCCTAAATTACAAGCCGACTCCACTGCAAGTTTATGGCATTCTACAAGGCTACGTGTCACCAACTTAATGATGTCATGGTTTTTATTGAGCTCGTGTAGAAAACCCTACAATAACAACATTAATAGGTTAATTTTACACGAGGTGGATCACAAATTATGTTTAATATTTATTGATATACACGTAAAGTATGATAACATGATTGTATTACACATACTAATAGCTATATGTGCCTGTATTACATTCTGCTATTGTATGTTTGAATATCAAGTTCAAGTCTTTAATTTGAAATCAAACAACCTTACTAAGCAATTAACCGACATATATTTGATGTCAATATACGATATATATATACATGTATTTCATACTTGAGTGGGTTTGGGGTAGATATCACCTGGGAATATATATCATATCTGAGGAGCGGGCAGGATATATTGTATATGTCCCGCTCCAGGCCAAATGCGGGCAGATATAATATATCCATCCCGCTCCCGGGAATTTTTTCAAAAGTTTAAAAATTTTAAAAATTTAAATTTCAGAAGTTTAAAATTTTTCAAAAAGTTTAAATGTTACAATTCTATTGTATTGAGCTGAAGGAATATTATGAAAATGTTAAATATAAATTGTGCTTTTACAGTATAGGCCTATCTTGTCATTTGAAAAAGGTGATAAAGGTTATATCTACCCCAAACCCACTCAAGTATGAGATACACCAGTTATGTACGGTCGGTTTTGGATACAGTGTTTATCCCGCGGGAAATATGTGTATCTCCCTCGGTCCCTGCGGTCCCTCGTGAGATACACATATTTCCCTTGGGATAAACCCTGTATCCAAAACCTCCCAGTACATAACCCTTATGTATATCATTATATAGTATTGTATATTCAGGCCCGTAGCCAGGATTTGCCAAGGGGGGTTCACTTTTTGAAAAATTCCAGGCGGGGTTCACTTTTGACAATTTTGGTCCAAATATGGCCAAAATCACTGAAAAAGTGCTCAGAATGGTGAAAAACTGCATGATTTTAAAAGATTTTTGGCCAGGGGCTGATATTTCACAAGAATTCACAAACCTTATCTGACTTGTGGAAGCTGCTCTTGGCAATGTTCTTGGATATATGTAGTAGCTGTTTCAGGGCTGGCAATACCCACACACCCTGAAAATAATAAACATAGGTTTCCTTTCCTCTTATGACTTGAACATTTATTCAAGCGTTGTAGATGTAGCACAAGCACAACATGATATATGACTTCTCAAGCCTGTATTGACTTGTATAAGCAAAAAAGGTCATAGCCAGATGCCTTAACAAAAACAGATGAGGTGAAATGAATAGAATTTAATCGTGTTCTCAGGTCATAAACTTCAGTTAAACCCCTTTCCAGCTTTTTTCCAAATTCCAAATAGTACACTTATACAACAGTTATAGGTTTCAATCTTATCAAGTTGACCTTTCTGTTTCTTAATATATTCTTAAGGCTTTGTTCACTTCTCATGGCTATGGTGGTAATACGATCTTTTCTAATAATAACAAAGTATCTTGTAATATATCTTTTCTAATCTCGTATATTGTACCTTTTTGATATCCTCAATACATTTAACAACATAGTTTTTCTTAAGTTGCTCCTTGACTGTACATGAGTCGCACAGGATTATAAGATGTTCCTCCAGAGCTTGTTCTATAAGATCTGTCGGCAGAGAAGGGAGGTGAGCTAGGTCCCAGAGTAACTCTAATACCTGAAATGAGATGATTCAATAATGAGTGATAAACAAGGCATAAACATGCAAAATGTCACCACCTGCCATTTGTAACAGACACCCACCATCGAACATTGACCACAGTCCACAAAAAAAGTTGGACACTATAACAATATCACTGTTCCACAAATTGTTATTTTGATGGAAAGTCAATGTAACAAAATGGATGAACTTCTTGGTTACGAGTTTTTTGTTTTCTCGATTTAAACTTAGTACTACTTATGTACGTATGTTGTAGATTATCATTTGGCACAACGTTAGACAATATAGTCTAGCTTTTAGAAATGCTCTTGTTTTGGAATTTGATTTGTAAATAAATCTGTAATTCATGCATTTAGACCATCGCTTTTGTTACATTGACATAAGTCGTCAAAGTAACATACATTGGTATTATAACGGACTTTTGTCAGTGTAAGCAAGGGGCTAAATATATGAATTGCAACTTCATTTACAAAACAAATTCCAAATCGAAGAAATTTATTAAAACTAGACTATATTTTCTAGCTTTGTGCCAAATTATGATCTGGAATTTGACTTGCAAGTAGGTTTAAATCGAGAAAACAAAAAACTCGTAACCAGGAAGTTCATCCATTTTGTTACATTGACGTTCTGTCAAAGTAACTAGTTCTGGAACAGTGAATATGTCAACACTTGTGGTGGTGACATAGAAAATGAATACTCAAAGTATTATTGACAGCAAACATTAATCAAGAACAGAAGCAGAAATAATGTATGTTTATTTATAATACTCACACGTGTGGTTGTTTTCTGTGCTTTGGCATCACGTCCAATCTTTCCAATCAAACTGAGCAGTTTATCTCTCATCCTATCATTCTCATCTTTCCAACTCTGAAACACAAATGTATAAGAATTATCTAAATTCCCATGTCTTCTACCCTAATCAAAAATTAAAGACCCATTTTGCGTATTTTCAACATTTTGTGGCAAAATAAAGTCTTACGTTTGAATTTCAAAGTATTTCCAATGGATTGACAAGTACTTTATCTTTCATTTGACACCAAAAACAGCTCAAACGGGCCATATCGAAGCTTGCAATATGTTATCAAAAAATATTTTTGATCTGCTAAGCTTTATATATCTAGTTTTCATCAATGTCAATGAAAGATGGCGAAGTTGTTTGTATTACATGATACATTCATTTATATAGAAGTGTTGCAATCTTATAAATCAATAGTAATTTAAAACATGCACTTTGTCAAAAATGTGCATGCACTACTAATGATCTCTGAACTTTGAATGCCCTTTTCTACATGAGTTATTTTTTCATTGGTTTAATATTACTACAAATCAAACTTTGTATCCTATCTAATTGAGTGTGTGAGTAACATGTTTCAATGATTAATTTTTCTTTTTTTCTTCTAAATTAAGCATAGTGGGGCTTTAAAATACAAAGGGCCCAATGTTACCTTCTGCATGAGGACAAAGAGATGTTCCAGTTGTTCTGTGTTGAATTTCACCCCTGCTGCGGCTATGATGCCATGAATATTATCTATCACCTGATTGGTCTCATCATCCTTCAATGAAATGAAACAACACTTTTTAAATGGGTGTTGAAGGCTGCAGCTCAGATGACCTCAGTTAATAGTTATTTCAACATCCTTGAGTTATTATTACTTAACCTAATACTATTCAAAGAATCTGGGGATCAAATAGACCCAACCCATGGAATTAGTTAAACAATATAGGAGTTTTCATATAGTTTAGAAATCTCGTTTAAGTCTCGTTTTAATGAGATTTTAGGAGGTCTGCATTTTAACCATAAAAGACCAATATTTTCTTCTATTTGATGGCATATTTGAATTCTGTGTGTAATTTTCCATCAAAACTTGATTTGCAGTTATTTACCTTTATTCAAATTTTAAAGGTTTTCAAGTTTCCTGAAAAAGGTCGGGCTAAATCCCCATTGACACAATATTGAAATACCTTTAAAAATTCATTTACTCTTATAAGTATCACAATATTAATGTTAAATCACGATCTGCATGTCAATAAGTTCATATAGTTACATTCCAATGGTGTTTTAAGTTGATCCAAATTGAATTACTTGTTAGATCAAAAATTAAGTTACTCTTGTTATGTGTTCCCATGTATTCAGGCCCCACAAACACCCATGCTGCCATCTATTTTTCCATCTAGTATAGATAATGGTCTATTAAACGCAGTTATTACAAACCTGCATTTTCCATATTTTGCTTAGTTCATCAAGGGAGAGACGTGAGCCCAGAAAGTCCACAATTCCCTTCACTCTCTCACAGTACTGGACTTGGTCTATGTTACCTGCAATCGCATGCTATGTAACATTAACAGGACGTGCATGAGACATGGTTAAGATGACAATTTCTTTATTTCATGATGGAGTAATTCCTCCCAATCTGACTGGAACATGAGATGAAGTTCATATATGTTCAATCTGATATTCCCAATAGTAAATATAAGAAAAACATTATTAAAAGATTTCATATGAAAATATATACAAATATTATGCAACTGAAAACTTTAACTATCACAAGGCATTAACACGCAAAAAGTCATCACCTGCCATTTGTTACAGACCCCATTCACCAACCACTGTCCACAAAAAAGTTGGAGACTATAATAATACATCATCACTTCTGGTGAGGACATAATAAAACTTATAATATTATTTTGATAAAGTAGAAATGATAACCATGGAATTGTATCAATCAGAAACACACATTATGCATATGCCTTGAACAGAGTAAAGATCCATACCTTCCAAAGCAACTGATAATATTTTGTTTTCTGAGAGCCAGTCTGTGATTGTGTCCTGGTCAATGGCAGTCTTAGGTTGTTTACTGTTGATGGCATCTTCAATTAACTTTGAGATCTGAAAAATCAATACAGTGTATGTCTATGCTGATGGGTGCAGAGGTCAGTTTTATTAGTATGGACCTCCCATGATTCTTAAAACTCGTTTAAGTGAAGGATTCTTCAATTTTCATGTAATCGAAAATGGTTTAATGTGATTTTAATGTTCATGAATTGATTTTAATGTTCATGAATTTCAATCCCCCATTCTCTATTCAAAATTTCAGGGACAGTGAACATATTTTACCACAGTTGACACCTACCACTTTGAGAGAATTCATCCTTGCATTGAAATGTGGCGACTTTAACATACGAAGGGCAAAATCCAGTCTCAGTGTGTCTACTGCCTGCACATCATTGGGCCAAATACTCAAACACAGCAGCTTGATGGATGCCAGCATCTCATTGACACAACCAACTTTCTAAAACCACAAAAAGAAATTCATGTACAAATACTGATACATGTTATATAACACTAATGCATGATAAAACACTGATACAAGTTAAAATGCTGATACATGTTAAAACATTGTGGAATTGCTTTCAGGCAAAAGAAGCATCATATAGAGAATTTGCCCTCCATTGTTGCCTAAATAAAAATAGATGGCAGCTTGACTAGATCTCAGTCAGTCTCTGATGCAGAAATAAGCATTAGAGAAATATGGATACAACATATATCACCCATAAGAATATATCTCCCTCAAATAAAATCAGGAAAACAACTATCACTCTACCTTGTCTTTGAGCTCATCTTCTTTGAGACCCTGTACATATTTCACTGCTCTCTCCATTCCTGTGGCTAACATAGGCTGGACACTCTTGCCATTTAGATACTCAGCACATTGGCCTAGAGGGGCTAGCAAGGCAGACATGGCAGGAGCATCAAGCTTCTCAGCAGCCAACAAAGTCTTCATGTGGTCGAACCCTTTCTTCCAACCAAACTGAAATGTCAGGGATAGAATCATATGTTATTCAAAATATGATCGATTGTGGAGATTTCTCAGGAGATACCATGGACAGAGGGAATTTTCAAAGTGGCCCTTAAAAAGGATTTACATCCGAATTTTCATGAGGATGATACACTGTACATTTATTGTGCTACTGCTACTGTCAGGATGTACTAATAAAATTTAAGCAGAATCATATTCAACAGTAAGCATGTTGTCTCTTTCATCTATCAACACTAGTTATTGTTTAACAACACAGTAATGGTGATCCTCTCATTTTGTTACATTTTAACATCCATAGACTATTTACTTACCCTGTTGATCAAATTCCTAAGAAGTCCATATGGATCTTTATTTGCGTTGACATTTGAGATGGAAAACAAGGCCTCGTCACCATACTTTTCTTGCCAAAAAAGCTGCTCTGGTTTCCTGAATCTGTTCTTGTAGTGAAATTCATTACCTGGGTTGAGGGCCTAAATGAAAATCACATCCTTGTATCAAGTACAGGGTGAAACAAAATAAATTCCACTAAACTCTATCTACACATCAAAATCATGAAGATTCCTTCATTATTGAGAAAGTTGTTCCAAAATTAGTGGGTGGCATTTTTGGGTCACCCTGTAAACTATGCACATGTATCCTCTCTTTTACTACATTCAACTTTCATATCTCTTAACCTTCTTACATCTTCAATCAACTGTTCTTTTTTAGATCTGTAACTTTAACACAACTTTTTATTTTATTCTTGCAGATTTTCGAAATTGTGATATACAACAAAATCTTTAAGATTGTTGGACATAAGCAAATGTTTTTAGTGGTCATGTGTCCCTTGGGCTTATATTGGATTGAATATTACCAGGCAGTAGTAAATGTTCATGTATAAAACTAGAATAATGCACGAAAGCTTCACATATTCTTATTCTACTTCTTCTGGTTCATTCTGAATTTTGTATCTGACAGTATATTCCCACTTTAAGCCAACCAATATAGCAATAAGCTCATTTCAAAGAGCAACATAGTAAAATCTTGGCCCAACTATGTTAGGCCCATAGCCATGGCCGAAATTTCTTTCAAAATCATGCAGTTTTTCACCATTCTGACTATTTTTTGAGTGATTTTTGGCCAAATTTGCCAAAGTGAACCCACCCCCTAGAATTTTTGGGAAAAGTGAACCCCCTTGGAAAATTCTAGCTATGGGCCTGTATGTTGCCCGCTGAAATGAGGTTATTAATATTATAAGTCTTCTAACCTCATACAAATACCCTGAGATCAGGCCTCACAAAGTGGTGATAATGTAAAATAGGGATCGACAGAGCACTGGTATAAGCTCATTGAGATTATAGGATTCCTTACCATTGCCAAGACCTCTAATAAGTTGATAGGGACAGGTTCATAGACCAATCGTGTAGCAGCTAGGTCAACAAATAGCTGACACATATTGTAGATGCCATCTTGTATCTCAGAGCCCCAGCGATGTACAGCACCTGATGTCATCAGCTTTGACAGTGCCTCCGGCATACACCTATCCATGAACCGCACACAGTTATCATCTGTCTCACATAATCCTGGAATAATATTAATTTTGGAAGCAAATTTTAATTGATGAATATTTATAAAGAAACATGGGGATACCGATTGAGATGGTATATTTCTTATAACCGAGGTGCACCGAATGAAAAATGTGTCAAATTCCTGGGGATTTTGGTGAAGATTTAATTTGGCAATTTTTTGATTCGTCAAATTAAGATCCCACCATATTAAAATAATTTATGTTTTAAATGAATTGAAATTAAAATAAATCTCATAAGTAAGGAACTTCATTCATTGAACAAGGAATAGAATATCCATGATTCACCTTCAGCGGCAAGCCTTGTAGATGCAACTAGACATTTCCCTAGAGACTCCTCCTTCTTATAGGGGATAGACCATTGGTCAGTAAAGACACGCCCCTCTAGTTCATAGAGATTGGTCACTGGGAACTCCATAGCTTCAGAGTTGTCTATTGCCGGTTCCTCTGTAGTTGCTTCACTCACAGTATTATCCTTCTAGACAACAATAAAACAGTTTAAATAATAATGTAACATGTGGAGTGTGCACGAAATTAAGTAGAGGAATATGCCATCAGATCCTGGAAAGAAGCAAACTATTTCAGATTAATTGCCATGAAAGTGCATATAAACTAAAAATCAAAACATTTTTATATCATGTCTATATGTCTATATATATATCAAATAGGTTCTTGCGAGTCAAGATGTTCATTACTTCTCTTGTTCCTAAAGTTTTTATAAGTAACTCAATAATATTGAGAGGAGACAAGGAAGGAAAATAATTTGGGACTTTGATCTTCCTGATGAACTAAAACCTAAATTACTTACTACTTCAAGTTATCAAGTACATTCATGTAGTTCATCTGTATCTCATAGAACAAAATATATGATAAACAATCAACTGTTAAAGATTCTAAAACTTTAAAGATGCAGTGTCTCATAGGTTTTTCTCTCGGACTATCAATGCTGTCACATTATAATTACTTATATAATAGCTTACATAGATACTGTAGATATATTTTGAGGCTAACTTATGGACACATGCACAGTATTGTAGATTTCTTGAGATTCAATAGGGCTATATATGTATTAGGCTGTGACACCCCCTCCCCCAGGATACTTATCAAGTTTCAGTGAGGAAGAGATTAAGGAGTGTAGTTTACCAAATGGTGTAAATATTTTTTCATGACTAGTACTTGTAACTTCAGACTTCAGTGTTCTCCCCAGGATTTTATCTCAAGTAGGTGCAAAATTCTCGATTTCATAATTTAGGTCAGAATTTGGTCAACATATGTTTTTAAGGCCAGGGTGCATGTTGGGAAATTTTCTGCATTCCTCAATTGAGTCACATGTTATTTTTCAAACAAGAATCGCTCCTTCCCCACATTATCTACATCTTCCAGTTTTGCACAAAGAGTGCACGTATGTACCTAGAAAAGACTTGTGAGAAGATTTGTTTGGTAAATTGTATAAAAAACGAGAAAATTCAGTGAAAAAAATTTCTGAAAATTTTCAGGACGATGTAGGCCATGTGGGGAAGGAGCGATTCTTGTTTGAAGAATAACATGTGACTCAAGTGAGGAATGCAGAAAATTTCCCATCATGCACCCTGACCTTAAGCTGAAACTCCCTAAATTACAAAAGGCCACCGTTTATTGCACATTTTACCCAACTATCTGAAATATGGCAAAGCTAGGGTGGAGCATATGTTTCTACTTTTCATATGCTGTATGTTAATCCGGGGGGTTCACTGTGTACAAAATTTGGCAGGGGTCCTAGGCTGAACCAGAAAGTTAAAAATCTGACCATTTCCATCCCTCAAAAGTTTAATGAGGGGGCATTCTCATACCACATCCTAAAATTTGGGTCCATTGCCATACCAAATGTCCAAAAAAAAGGTACCCCATGTGCGCCGAGGATCCCCGTCAAGGTTTATATACAGTGAACCCCCCGGGATGTTTATACAATGTGGTCATTTGATTGCATATAGTCTAGTACATTCATTGAAATGGGATATTCCTGTTATTTCTGATACAGATTTTTGGAATGTTTGAAAGACATCAGCATACTGAACATGTACATGATGTACCCCTGGATTCCTAGATCCACCGTTGCTACATATGCTATCCATGTTTCTGCGATATGACCATACTAAAAACACTCAACAAAGCGAGGTAAGTGACAAACACTCCATTATATCCTGTCACCACCTGTCATTTGTTTACATACACTAACCGCCGAAAACACCAAATGTCAAATAGCATCCACAAGCGGAGACTCACTATTAAATATGTCTCTGCTTCTAGTGCCCTCTATTATATATTTCTTTACATGTTTGAACTAATTTTGGTTGGTCAGTTTGCCAATGACACTTTGGAAGTAAAAGTAGGTGTGGCACTCACATCAGTTTCAACAACATCATCATAAGAAGGGGGTGCCAATGGAGGGTGGAACTCTTGAACAGGGCCTTGCACGTCACTCCCTCGAGTTCCAACGTCTTTCATCTCAACATCATCTATCGCATCAAAGGTATTAGATGGATGTTCATTTGTCAAAATAGCCACTGCTTCGTTCAAATCATTTTTTCCTAATTTTAATGCACGCCGAATTTCACTTTCACTCGGAAAGCCCATATTCATCAAGGTCTGCACGTGGTCTTCGTTCACATCCATCTTGGAATGTGCTTCAAAAGCAACAGGTCGCTGTCAAGTTGATGATTATTCCATTACGCCTAAGTAAGACCCAAAAATGTTTAAAATACCGACACTTAAAAGTAGGTCAGAACTTTTTGCCCGCCATATTGAAAGTGTAATAAACTAAGCGAGCAACAATTTCATTCAAGTAGTGACACCTATTATACTACTAAGAACTAAAAATACTACAAAGGCTATCCAGTGGGGGTAGCTAGTGGACAGTTGCACACTGACTTGGTTTAGCATGGGAAAAATTTGTTTGTTGACAAATGCCAAGTTTCCAGAACATCAAAACCCATGTTTTGTGTGGAGTATATGTACAATCGAGAGTCAATGTATAAAATTGTATGAGTTTTAAAAAAAATCATGGCTTTAATCTTGGGAGTGAGTCAACCCTGGGGAGTCATTTGGCAAGTCAAGCCCGTGGTTTTATTAGCTCACATGGTGAGCTTTTGCAATCACTCACTTGTCCATCTGTCTGTCCGTCTGTCCGTCCGTCCGTCAACAATAGTGGCACGTTTTAAAGGCCTCTGTCGATAATAGGATTCCCATTTTAAGTTATTTCTGTTCAACATCAATACAGCAAACTCCCCTCTGACTCCTGGTTCAAAAGCTCGCCTATTTTCAAGATGGCTGCCATTTTTGTCTCACGAAATTCATTTTTGACCCATTTCCTAGCTTTACAAATAATGTCAAGTGTCCTGCATTGTTAAAATCCATGTCAATGTGAAGAGTAGTTATATGAAATGATTTTGTTACAAAAAATCAGCAAAAAATTATATCCATTTTTTTTATTTTCAGCCATTTTAGTTAACATTGATTTGTCCATCTGACTCGCGAAATCCACTTTTTCGTCAACAATAGTGGCACGTTTAAAAACCTCTGTCGATAGGATCTCCGTTTTAAGTTATTTCTGTTCAACATCAATACAGAAAACTCCCCTATGGCAGCTGGTTCAAAAGCTCGCCTATTTTCAAAATGGCCGCCATTTTTGTCTCGCGAAATTCACTTTTGACCCATTTCCTAGCTTTACAAATAATTTCAGGTGTCCTGCATTGTAAAAATCCATGTCAATGTAAAGAGTAGTTGTATGAAATAATTTTGTTACAAAAAATTATATCCATTTTTTTATTTTCGGCCATTTTAGTTAACATTGATTTGACAATCTGCCTCGCGAGATCCACTTTTGAACCATTTGCCTTAAAACATCTGTTGATAGGATTCCCGTTTTAAGTTATTTGTGTTCAACATCAATACAGAAAACTCCCCTCTGACTCCTGGTTCAAAAGCTCGCCTATTTTCAAGATGGCTGCCATTTTTGTCTCGCGAAATTCATTTTTGACCCATTTCCTAGCTTTAAAAATAATGCCAGGTGTCCTGCATTGTTAAAATCCATATCAATGTGAAGAGTAGTTATATGAAATGATTTTGTTACAAAAAATCAGCAAAAATGTATATCTGTTTTTTATTTCCAGCCATTTTAGCTAACATTAATTTGTCCATCTGACTTGCGAAATCCACTTTTCCGTCAACAATAGTTAGTGGCACGTTTTAAAACCTCTGTCGATAGGATTCCCGTTTTAAGTAATTTGTGTTCAATATCAATACAGAAAACTCCCCTATGACTCCTGGTTCAAAAGCTCGCATATTTTCAAAATGGCCGCCATTCTTGTCTCGCAAAATTCACTTTTGACCCATTTCCTAGCTTTACATATAATTTCAGGTGTCCTGCATTGTAAAAAGCCATTTCACTGTAAAGAGAAGTTGTATTCGAACTAATCGGAAAAAAATCATGCCCTTTTATTTTTATTTTCAGCCATTTTAGTTAACATTGATTTGTCCATCTGTCTCTCAGTCAGTCCAAAATAGTGGCAACACTTGGCTCTTTTTAAATCCGCTGTAGATAGGATTCCCGTTTTAAAATATTTTTGTTCAACATCAATAAAGAAAAAAAACTGTGACTCCTGCTTCGGCAAAGAATTATATCCGTATTTTTTATTTTCACTTTTGAGCAACACCATGTGAGCCCAGTACCCACGGTACTATTTATTTATTTTTGTTCTACACAACACTTGCGTTTAATGAAACTGAAGTACAGTTCATTAATAGGTCGTTCAGTTTTCTTGTTTTTGTTCTACACAACACTGTTTATAGCCACGCGTAATTATTAATAAGCGTTATCAGATTATTCCAAGCGTCGAAATAGCTAATTTTCCTCGACGTATCTACACAAACCTATTCACTTACCGTTATAGTGAGTACTCTAGATGCGTCAATTATAATTGTTTTCACTCATCGGCTTTAAATTAGTGGCCCGCAATACCTTTTATTTCATTCATTTAAGACGCAATTGATATATTGGCAACAAATCAAATGTTCTAAATGATTCTTCTTCATTTTGGAATGTTTCTCCTACCCGATATTCAAAGATGTGTCTTAAATATTATACTTTACATTGATCACGATTCTTGTACTTTCTGTCTTTACGACTCCCGTTCACATTTGAGTTGTTGATTGCATTGCCTTGATCGTTGGTCGAACTTCGATTCCAACTAAATCAGATTAATCAATTAAGAAATGTAATATCATGTTTATCCAAGCAAATAATTGTAACAACTACATTATTTTTTAGCGGTTTTGACACCTAAGCAGGGTAGCCTAGTGGCGTAGACTGAGGCTACTTTGCGGTTGAACGTCGTGGGATACGGAGGTCCCGCGTTCGAGCCCCAGGTACGGAGTTGTTGATCATTGTCACTACGGACACCCGGTCCGAAGGTCCAACCGTTTACCGGCCCTTGGCATGGGTTGGTTCTCTGGCCGCTCTCGCCGGAGACAGATTGTGAGACTGTGGTTGGTTCCTCCACTAACGTGCTTTAGTAAACTCCGGGAGTCATATAGTATGGTAGCGGGCCCCAACCAAGGGCAGTAGTGGAACGACGCGAATCGGTCCCAGTATGGTTGCCTTGCAACTGAAGAGACTCGAGGAAATCATGCCATTCGCAGTGACCCAGAAAAGACTTTTGCTCCTTAATTTGACGTTTTAATTCATTTATTTACATACTTTATTTATATTACTCTCCAGGCAGTTATGATTTTTATTGGTCAAATGACAATGAACGAGACATATAGACACTATTAAATACATCTAGATTGTATCAAAACCATAATTCTATTTGTCGGACATATATAAAATAACACTTGAAAACACAACACACATAGCTGCAATATCCATAGCATTTGGCACGGTCGGTTCCCACGCTCTATCATTTTGTGTGGTCATCATAAGATAAGGCCTTAAGGAGGTACGGTTGATCGGACCATGGGCTTTCAACAGAGTCAAGAAATTGGCATGGATACTTTGAGAAATGAGGAAGCGACAAAAGGAAACACAGGAAATAATCCAGAAATGTCCACACCAGTGTTCTCGTTAGTTATGGCAAGGCCCCGGAGGAAAAACAGCATTCGTGGGTAGCTTAATTTTGTACCAATTAGAGCCATGACTTAAACTCAACCAAGAACGGTGGAGCGGCAAAGCCACTATGGGTCCCAATTGAGAATCAATTCAAATCAAAATCAAATTGAGAATCAGCTAGATGACCTGCTAAGTTTAGTATTGATTTGCCCCTAAATAGAATATTAAAGGGGCGCTGAATATTGGACTTACGTAGTTAATGAGCACCATTTTAAACTGCCAATTGAAACATGTAGGTTATTCAATGTTTCAAAATAATGAAACTGAAATATTGGGCAAAATAATTGATATTTCGTTTGTGGAATGAAAACTGATGATAGAGATAATATCAGTAGCCAAAAACTATCTTGAGCAATTTAAACAAGGAAATGATGCCAATTTAAAAGTATTATATGAAAAGAAATGTATGTGAAATGGTTAGAAACCGAAATAACTTCAGAATTAATGGGATCATTGAGGCACACATTGATAAAAATCAGTCTTGGATTTGGAAAGATTTAAAGTAAAACAAATGAATGCGTTTCTTACTATCTCCATGACAACATATCTTGCTCTCTCTCCATGACAACAATTTTTGGCCCCATCAGCACACCATCGAAAATACAGTAATTATCAAGTTCAATAAGAAATGTGAAACTTTATATTTGATTTAATAGCACAATTATTGATTTTTACCAATGAAACAATACAGTATGTAAATGTTTACTTCATTGAATACAGAATTTACCACGGTTAAATATATTGTATGAGGTACAGGGTTTACCATAATCAAACATAAATAACAGAATTATGACTTTATCCTCTATGAAATACAGATATTGATGGTTTACTCGAATTCAGTTTGTTGAGACGACCCCTCAATCCCCTCACAATTAAAAAAATTCTGGCCGCAACTGAGATGTAAAGATGTGAGTCAAAGATTTTAAATTAAGCTTTATCTGAATATGTTTTTGCGCGATAAAACCGTTAATTGCTATGAATATATAAACAACAGACGGATTGACATCCAGTCTCATATTAAAAAGTTTAAAGTCAAAATATTGTGGAAGTAGATAAAAGTGAATTTTTAATTTTCAAGACTTGTCTGTTCAATGAAAAAATCACGTAATTTGAACCAAAGCGTGTATGATAAAGTAATAATTTCTCTTGGCTTTTCAACATTGCACCATATTTGACTTTTCAGGCTCCACTTTTATTATTCTATGCCTATATAATGTTACTGTGCACTGTCATACATGTACATAATCATATACATGACGTTTTGAAAGAGTATAGAGCTAGATTCAAAGCACCATTGTGCGAGTTTCAAACTTGAAAATGCATGTATTGAGGACTGCAACTTTTTATGTCTACACTGACAAAGACTTGAAATTCCCGCTGTAAAGTCTTACATATACAGATATAATATCAATAATATGTCATATTTACCCATTTTTCTTAATTTTTAATAATTACAGTTTTGAGTGATTTTGAGTCAGGGCCTCAGAGCATGGCCTCCGCGGAAAATGAGATATCTCTCCAAGTTGTTGATGTACTTTTCTCCATTGACACTCTATCTATACATAAAAATCATTAAGATTCCTTTAAGAAGTTTTTCCGAAAATAGTGCACATGCTATCTATTGCAAGACTAACGCCTGGTGTAACCGTCACCATGTTATTCGGTGTTTTTTAAGTAGCGCAAGGATCCTGCCATGACCGTGGCAGTGTTATTTTGTAAGCCTGGTATAACCGTGACAACGCTGTATTATATTGCAAGGCCTGTCATGACCGTGAGTGTTATCGTGGAAGCCTGGCGCGGCCGTAGCATTTACGTTTAATTTAAGAATTTTTTATTGTTGTTTGTTAAGTGATTTGTTTACTATCCACTTTTAAATAAATTGTTTATTAGCGTGACACAAATAACTTAATGATTAACTATTTTAGAATATGCGGAAATAATGTGAATATAATGTCTAGTAGTAATTTTGATATTAACATAATTAAGGTAGTTAAACACCTACATCACCACTCGCATACTTGCAATACTACATTACACTGCCACGGCGGTCATACCAAGCCTTGCAATACTATATTATATTGTCACGGTCATGCCAGGCCTTGCAGTACTATATTACATTGTCACGGTCATGGCAGACCTTGCAATACTACATGTATATTACCTTGTCACGGTCATGCCAGCCTTTGTAATACACAGTGTCACGGTTATAGCAGTAGTCCTAATCATAAATTTCTACATCACCACTTTCATACCTGAACTTGCAATACTACATTACACTGCCACGGCGGTCATACCAAGCCTTGCAATACTATATTACATTGTCACGGTCATGCCAGGCCTTGCAGTACTGTATTACATGGTCACGGCCATGCCAGGCCTTGCAGTACTATATGACATTGTCACGGTCATGCCTGGCTTTGCTATAAACATTGTCACGGTTATAGCAGTCCTAATCATAAATTATTGCAAGGCCTGTCATGACCGTGGTAATGTTAAAGCCTAATATGACCGTGACAATGCTTATAAGGCCTGTCATGACCGTGGTAATGTTAAAGCCCCGTATGACCGTGACAATAGTTGCAAGGCCTCTCATGACCGTGGTTGTATTTAAAGTAGCATGAGAACACTGTAATGACAATTTTTCTTCGTGTTTATCTACCTTAAATATGTAAATAAAGACTACTAAAAATGTGTATTAATTTCACAACGAAAACCTAATTTTTACTCATAAATAATTTGCGAACAAACTATATCTCTACTCTCATTCAAAGAGCTTCGATTCGAAAGCATATACTTTCTATAATGATCAATTAATAAGATTTATTCATAAAAAATACCAACAGCAACGGGTCATTAATGTCATATAAAGGTTGCGGTCGCGCCAGGCTTACACGATTACACTACCACGGTCATGGCAGGCATTTTAATATAATACAGCATTGTCGCGGTTATACCAGGCTTTCACGATAACATAACCACGGTCATGGCAGGATCCTTGCCGCTGCAGTTGCGCTACTTAAAAAACACCAAATAACATAGTGACGGTTACGCCAGGCGTTAGTCTTGCAACAGATAGGGTCTCAAATAGTGGGTGAAATTTTTTGTTCCACTCTGTATTACATAGAATCGAAAGTGAAAGTAATACAAGATTGTGCACATACAACAGTGACGTCACGGTTTTTGTATAGAAGAGAGTTGTCGAAATCTTCAGAATTTCTTGCAAAATTATTTAAATTATCATTAAAGGACTGCTAATTGAAATCACAGCGGTGTAGTAGTAGTATAAACAGGAGATTTTCTACAATTGCAAACGGTTTGTACAAACATCAGGATTATAGGTTATGGCAATTAGATCTATTTATTTTCTTCCATAATTTTTGGGATTTTTAAAAAAAAAATTGATTTTAGATCGGGTTCCTCTTTTCTGACAACTTTGATCGTGAAAAATAAGACATAGCTGAAGAATGATACTGTCACTTACCTTCCAGAAGTTAGTTAAACATTCAGCTATATTGCTGATACAAAATAATAAATAATAAAGGGTGAGTTTTCAAACTAAACACAGTGCTCCTACCAAAATTGATTTACTTCCTGCGAAAGCTATGTGGATTTTGATACAATAGCTTTCCTACAGCGCACTTGGACAGCTGAATAATAGTGGCCTTTAAAACATGAATAATGAGATCTGCGGCTTACTTTTGGTCTCTAACTGTGTCTTACATCAGTATCATCAACCCGTGCAAGTATTGGAGCGCTGAAATACTTCTTTTTCGATCAAGTCTTGTATATTGTTAATAGAGTGAATGTTTTTTCAACCCATTTCCAGTATGGCGGTTTGCTAGGAGCAAGATACGCAACAAACGAAATGAATTTTTAGTATGAGTTAGGTTCGGACAACCTCCGGAGATTTACAAAAATGTCCGAGCAGGAAACCCCATATTAGAATTTGGCAGAAAAAACATTCACTCGACTAAGTCTTGATAGAAAAGGAAGTACTTCAACGCTCCAATACTTGCATGGAAGGATGATAATGATGTATGACATAGTTAGAGAACAAAAGTAAGCCGCTGATCAACTTAATTCGTGTTTCAAAGGTCACTATTATTCAGCTGTCCATTTCTCCGTTGGAAAGCAATAAGTTTCAAAATCTAATATGGCTCTCGAAGTGAGTAAGATTTGCCTATAACCCCTGAGACTCTTATCTGATAGATAGAATGCACAAATAAAACAAATGTTTTGCTATTAAATTTCTCTTAAATTTCTAAGTGATTTTACCTGTTAATTCTGTTATTGGTCAGCCATTTTTGCGGATGTTACACTGAAACACAAACTCCACGGAATGAAACAAAATCACTAGAAAAAACATGGCACACATTGTGCGTATACGCATTAAAGAAGATGCGTCACTGAAAATTTCAATAAAAAGTGACTACCTTTCAAAACGTTCCTTATACAAAATGGTACCTGCTTTCTTGTGATAGATTTTGCACTTATTTTATAGCTGAGATCTTCATCTTTCTATTTTTACTTATTTGAGTAAATAACCTATGGACGCAGTTATTTGACTTTTAATAAGGCAAATATTCATTTGATCGGGGCTCTTGTGTGTCCAAATATCATTGTAATGCTGACGTTACATTTCTTGAATCACGGGAGCACCATTCAGATTTAGACAGACAAGAGCCCTAACTAAAGATAAAATATCACTATTTTTGCCTCTTATCAACGCAGGATTGCTTGAATACTTTTCATTAGTGATCATCAAGGTAAAGAATAACAAGACGCCTCGAATGAGTTATGATTTGTCTCATGTTTTTCAGAAATGTCTGCACAATTGTCATTTTAAAATTTGAAATTTTCTGAGGTGTCTCATCTGGAGGAATATTTATTGAGCTACTTATTCTACTACGAAAGAATCTGGCCGGGATCAATGCTTAAATCCAGTCAGATTATTTGATTATTTTGTGCACATGAATTATTGGACTTATTAAAATTGGACTCTCACTTTATGGAGATTCATGATTCAAAATTTGAATTCAAACAACCGCCATTTTGTTCACTTTAACATTTGAATCGTGAATTTTGGTCTTATATCCGAACAAAAAATTCCAAAACTCACGAGAAATGATCGAGATATTGGTTCGAATCTTTTGGACTGTTTATTTTGAATTTATACTTGTCGGTTATAATTTAAAAAAATAACGCCATTTCGATGTTTTCATTGTTGAAAAAAGTCGAGTTTCAGTCCTGGGAGCCAATCCTCCTTGTTACTTTTCTAAACAATGTTTTGTGCATAATTCAGTAGAAATGCCTTTATGAATGATGGGTATGATTTGACTCACATATAATCAAAGATCACACCGCCATCTAAGTGTAAAAATATTGTTTAAAGTGACTATGTATGCTCAAAATAAAGCTTTCAAGAATAATGAAGAAGGTAAGTCTGTTTTTCATTTCATTTTTGTCTCTTGGATATTGTGCTTATGCTCGAAAATGGTTGATGCAATAAAATTAATGCGCTGTTAGGTTGAATGTTTTACTAGCTTCTGGAAGGTAAGTGACAGTATCATTCTTTAGCTAAGTCTTATTTTCCACGTTCAAAATTGTCATGATAAAAAAATATTTGGTTGTACAGAGAGTAATTAACTTGAAGAAAATGTAGAAAGTCACTCCTCTTTTTGGTGATTTTGAAGTCATGTCTGCATTTTACAGTTCAAAATCAACTTCTATAGTAATTTGCCACTACCTTCTAATTAAACTCGCTATATTGTTTCTCAAAACATATTCTCTCAAAATCAGAAACTAGAGGATATAGTCTAGGTACTTGTAAAGTGCTGACAAAAAATAATTGAAGAGTCATGTATTTTGCCTATTTTCTTAAATTTGAACATTTAATTTCTCAAACTGCTGAAAAATGTCCCTTTAATGATATCTACCAAAATGAATGTCTCCAAAGCTCCATACCAGCGTATGTACTATCATGGGCGTTCAACTAGTTGAAAGCCCATGGTACTATGCATGATGCATTTCTCACAAGTTTGAGTTCTAATTTTGATAAAGTTTAGTAGGGGCAATCTCCACCAGGTTTGCTTATCGCGGTTTGACCATTTTGGAAGGAAAACTCTATTTAGTTTGAAAAGTTTGAAAACCTAACACTTATTTATCATGAGTACACTGTAGTCTCAGGTTTTGATTCATTCAACATGTTCAAGGTGCTCTTCCAATGGAAGTTCCTTGTTCCCTAGTAAGAATCATTTTAATATGTGATTATTATTAAATTCATGCTCACATGTCGCTGTCTCAGAGACATTGTTGCAAAATATATTTTGGTTGATTTGTTCCATGTCCATTATAGATGTCACTCCTTCCACCTGAATATGATGAGGTGCAACCGCAATATTATGATCCTAGCTTCACTGCAGATATCAGTAACCAGATGCGTATCCCAGAAACCATAAGTGTACATGATGACCAACAACAGGAAGAACGGGAACAATGGAAATATAGTGCTGGAGAGAAAGTAGGAAATACAAGGCGCAGTATGATTGTTCCAGATAAAATAGTTATAGCAGGTTAGAACAATATACTGATATACCCTATTGTTATTAACTTACCTCCCTCCAAGGCTGTCTCTGTATTCTGGCCTTGTGTAATATACAACCCACTAGTGACATAATATGTCATTCTCAAGAACAACACTTAATTTGCGGAATCTGGCATTTGTTAAGTACAGAAAAACACAAATTATACGTCTGGATGTGAAAATGTCAATATTGGGGGGTATCAAAATTGTCCGATGTATATGTATACTGACTCTTTAACATTACAGCAGTACATGCATTCATGTAATTAGTGATGTATTTATCTTTTATTTTATCTAATTTTTGCAAAAGGTGATGAGAAACATGTTGGATTGAAGAAAGATCTACCACTTAATTTTGACGACACTTTCATACCAAACATGTCACAGCACGTTGGAATCACTACTCCCCCTCGAGTCCTCACATTGGAAGAACAAAGCTTCCCAACGGTTGAAGAAATGGAAGAAGTAAAACAGCAGCATCTACGCAGCATGCCTGAACACAATGGCGTGATAATACAGAGCAAAAGGTAGGGCAAATAACAGGTTCAGTATTTTTTTAATGCACTTGAATCACACTTTGGGCAATTTTATGAAATAACATTAAAATTTTTTGAAATATTAGAGAATTGTCTATTAACTCATTGATCAAGTTAGTATAATATCAACTGATAAACACAAGTTGAAAAGAAAACCACTTTGAATCATAAAAACTTAACAATGAAATACTAGTAAGATGTATAGTGGGTAAGCTCACACAGTTTTATGTGAAGAAGTAATCTAGGTTTTCATTATAGACTATACTGTAGATACACTTGTTATGGCTCCTGTTTTAATTTGATGGATTGGCGGATTCAGAAAATCTGCCAAATTAAAAATCTGTCAAAGGAGGAGGGAAAGTATCGCAACTGATTTCGGACAGTCATGTGTTGGATTGTGACTATTCTCTGAAGATTTAAATAAGTGCATATGTTAGATCAATGCATTACCTCCAGGAAAAGCACGCATAGAGATGATAAAATAATTTTGACTTTGAGACAGGGGAGGTGCAAACAACCCACCCACATGTTTTTTCTGAAATGTTGTTCTTATTTTCAAGCCCTTCCATCCCTGCTTTTTAAATTTTTGTTGTATCAATATGTTGCGTTTTGACACACAGTTAGCCACTTTAAAGGAATAAGTGATTCCTTCAGGGGTTTTAAAGATATCCATTATGGGTGACCAAAATTAGCTGAAAGCAATGGATCGCATGAGTTTTCCCTATGTGAAAAATAACATGGGAAATATTGTTTTCCACTTAATCTAAAAGGAATCACTTATTCCTTTAAAGGGACTAACTGTGTGTCAAAACACAACATATTGATGCAAGAAAAATTAAAAAAGCAGGGATGGAAGGGGTTGAAAATCAAGAAAAAATTTCAGGAAAACCATGTGGGTAGGTTGTTTGCATCTGTCCTGCCTCAAAGTCGAAATAATTTAATCATCTCTAGAAGTGCTTTTCCTGGAGCTAATGCATTGGCCTAACATATGCACCTGTTTAAATCCTCAATGACTGTCCAAAATCTGTTGCGCCAATTTCCCTCCTCCTTTCAGTTTGGAATTTTTGTCCTATGCTCTTCAGAAATTAAATTTCTAGGGCCCCTTTTCCTGTCAACATGTTAATATCAATTCTACATTATTCCAAAAGAAATACAAAAAATATCTTGGTAAATACATACCTGTCCCAATGACATAAATATAGAAAAAATAAACTTCAGTCCTGATTCAGCCAAATTAAATAGCCGCCAATATTTGAAATTGAGCAAATATTTCAAATTAAGTAGCTTCAAAATAAGTGTATCTACAGTATTAGTTACTGGACTTGAATGTCTTAATCCTTATTGTTAAATATTCTTGAAACACTTGCAGTCCTAGTCAACCTATACCTTACACACCCGGTGTCACCCCACTAGATGGCTCTCTATTAGTAGAAGATGAAGTTGATGATGTCACAGCTTTAAGACGTCAGGTATCTAAACTAACACGACGGGTTATGCATCTAGAAGAGGACAATCAGGCCAAGTCTAATAGGGACCTTATACTATACCCTGTAATAGTGCTATACTTTATTATGAGATTTGGACAGTGGCTAATAAGGACAAATTGAAATGCTTGTGACACCTGACCTTGACCTGAAAGTCTTGGGAAATTAGAAAGGAGACAGTTGGGCTTGGAGAATTGGAGAGATGACTTGCTGGTGCAAAAATTGATTGTACAAAAACAATGTGTTTGATCTGTAATATTAGAATATTTATGTAGAGTTAACAACAAGAGGATAGTGTCTGGAACATTAACATCTATGATGTCATTACGATTGAACATTTTTATCGTTGAGACTCTTTCTTCCTACGATTGTTTAATATCAACAATTCCCAGTCTGAGAACTATTTTAGAATAAAAAAGATTTGTGTGATCTTAACAAAAAACTTGCCAATCTCAATTTATAGAATGAGAAAGATTTACTTGGGCATTTATTTGTTCCAGTAAAGGAGGAGAAACATATGTCTGTCCGAAATCTGTTGCGATACTTTCCATCCTCCTTTCTTATCATTCAAAAAAAATCTATTTAACATTTGCAGTATTCAAGTTTGTAATATTCAAGTTTGTACAGTATTGGTTTTCTAATAGACCATATTGTGTATGGAAGCAAAACTAAAGTTAAAATATTTGTAGAAATGAAATGAGACCTTCTTTGGCAATCATATGTAAACTTACTTTGGATTGAATGTGCAACAAAGATTTTATTTTTCTATTCCAAGTTCATATAAAATCATGTCTTAATCTATTTTGGCACATTATATTTTACTAAAATGTTATTTTGATGTGCCAATTGTAATTGAGAATACATGTGCAGGGTGTTAAAGAATACTTATATTAATGCTGCCACATTTTCCCTTGTTCAGTATTATATTTCTGAGTTGATTGCAGGTTAGGTTAGCCAAAGTTGGTTGGCAGTGGTTCTGATCTTCACACCTTATATCAGTCATATACATATACATCACTGTACATGTATTCAAATTGCCCGTCTAAAATACTTAAAATATATCTGATCCAAGGGTAACTGTATGTACCTATAACCTTCAGGCTTAAAGGCAGAATCAGATCTATGGGGGTGACAAAATTACAAGCAACATGTACAACTGACCTACCAATCTATTCCTTACAATCTCAAATGCAATATCTCCCAAAAGATTCATGAAATGTCATAAATTGGTGAAGTTATAATGGATTCAGAGTGCAAAAATGGGTAAAAATGTTTAAATTCTCCCAAATAATAAGAATGGTGACCATTCTTATAGAAAAATAATATATTATCGTAAAAATCTTTAGTTTTCCTGAAATAAAGTGAGCACTGCGTGGATTTTTAGGAAAAAGACATGAAAATTTTTTGTTAGGCTGCTCGCTAGATCTGATTCTCTCTTTAATTATCTTGAATATAATTCAAAAATAATATAATTACCAGAAATGCAGTTTATCAAAAACAATACACTGCAGATGCAACTTATGATTTCTGAAATTTCTAGGATTTTGATCAATTTAAGTTGCAGACCTAAACCTCCACTGGCAGTCAATTCACTAACACTTGTAGACTTGTGGAACATTTACATTACATCAATGAAAACTCATGCAGCTGACAAATGAGCCAGAAATATTAAACAACAAAAATGTTACAAGCATTGTATAAAGACTTATCAAACCAAACAATAGTTGCAGTTCACACCTTTGATTTTCTATTTTCATACAATTTTTATTACTGATTGTGTTGTATTATGACAGCCACATGTCTTCATCTTTGATAACTTCTTTCTACCACCTTAGGGACCTGTCATTTTTGGGTTCTGAATGGCTTTAACATACATGTATCTTTGACTTTTGAGTGATCAGTTACTAGTGAAGGAAATGCACAGTTTTTCTTTCGACAACATCAAAACTTTCCAAAAATATGTTTTTACACACAGTTTTATGAGAATTTTCCCTCTAGATTTTTCACATGATAAAATAGCAGCCAAAAATTACTGTTGAAGCAAACGAAATTCTGCAATTCAAGAATAACAGATATATCATGTAGATATGTATGATATAGCTTGAAGCTTAACTTCACTGTAGAAATATGCCAAATTATGTAAACATTTTCTGTTTTTGTAATAATGTAGTAAACTTTGTTTTAAATATATTGATAATTTGAAACACATGTAGTAATGTTTTCTGTTTATACCGCAGAAAGAATAATTGACCTTTTGCCAAATACATGATTATTGTTTATGCTCATAGACTGATTGAGCTATGCTGAGATGGTTGAGATTTATGAATAATATAGATAACTACCATTGCTAAAAACTTTCTGTCAAGTACTACACAAAGGACTAGGTGTGGTATGGCTAGGGATTTAGATGGTCATATCTTTCACCATAAGTACTTTCTCAATTTAAATATGACATTTCTCATTTTAACACAATATGTTATCTTTCAAGTAAATTCTCAAGGATTATAAAAATATCAATCGAACAATTCGAAAATTATGGATACCCCATGTCAAAATGTTGAACCTATTTACTCAAAAGAGGATCTTCTTTTCTGCTTTTTTTTTATTATTGCATGAAACGATTATTCAACAGGGGGTCCAAAATTTCTTCATAAGTAGAAGGTATTGAAAGTCTAGTTTTGAATATATCAATTTTCAATAACCAAAATTATGCTGAAAACAGTGGAAAGTATGGGTTTTAACTTGATCGCATTGCAATCCCCATCGCTTTTGTGAACTTGTTAATACTGTACAGTGTAGAAGAAACTTTTGATATATTTAAATTGAGAAAAACATTTTTAATAAGTGATTAGGTGGGTCTAATCCATAATTTTTCATAATTATCATGAGCACTTCACTTTAAAGACAACATATTGTTTTAATAAAGTACTCATGTGGGGCATGGTGAAAGGTATGACTGTCCAAAATCACTTGCTATACTATACCAGGTCCTTTGATATGATTTATTATACTTTTAATTGTGTCCCTTTTAGTTGAAGTCCCTTTCTGATCTCAGTGCAACCCTTGGGTTGTATAAAATTGTTTAAATTAGAATTAGGACGTGATGTACATGTGTTGTCAATAAGCAAAACTTGTTTTTGATAAAGGAATCTCTGGTCAGTATTATTCTATTGGACCGTATATTAGAAAATGACAGATCCCCAAAAGACAATTTGAGAGACGTCATCTCATTGGTCAACAGTAGTCACGTGATATTGTAGGAACCAGCTCAAAATTTGTTTCCTTTCAGTTTTCTTTGCGTTCTTCAATGTATGTTTTAGTTCAAATATCTACCATCTTAGATCAAAGATTTGTTGTACATGTAGTAAGTAAGTAACTTCAGATGAACATGTCATTCCATTTGTATGAGTAGGCGATACGTACATCAAACTTGGAAATTTAAAACTGCTGAGTTTCAATCAGATTTCGATTTCGATTTTGAATTTGATTTTTTTCTCTTTTTGCCGACGACGAGAGTGTTCTGGCGAAAGGAGATTGGGATTCCAAATTTTTAGAAGACTGGAAACAAGATTCAAGTATTTTTCAAGACTGCTGACTCTTGTTGGGCTATTTTTTATCCCTATTGACTTACCCCCATAAATGTGGGGTAAGCTTAATTTTGAGTTTTTTGATATTTAGGACATTTATTTCTCAAAATAACCCCACAAATTTAAGGCTTTGATTTTTTGCGATTTTTTCCTTACCTTTTTTTCTCTTCTGTGAAGAAGATTCTTTTTCCAGTGTACCCGCCAATGTAATGAGCGATCGATCAGTCGAAACGATGCTTTATAACTGTAACAATTTGCTGCAATATTTGACTCTCGCAATCTAATCACATTTCGGTCGACTGTAGTTCAGGCACCAGGGGCGGATCTCGGAAGCAACAAGGGGGGGGGCCAAATTTCAGATCAGAGAAAAAACCGTACGCGCTTGCGTGGAAAAAAATTTTGGGCCCCTAAAACCCAAAAGTGGGCCCAAATTTTGAAATTTTGAAAAATAAGGCCTGAAAAGGCCCAATTATGACCAAAAAGGCCCACTTTTTGGGGCCTTTTTTTTGGGCCCAATTTTTTTTTCTGGGCCCACCCAACTATGTTACCATGGTAACAAAAATAAAAGGATAATGATGTCATAGAACAATGAAACCTTCATGGTGTGTGATCCTATCTATTTGGGTTATATTGTGTGAAAAAATTACTAAGAAGGGATAAAAAATGGCAAAAATAGAGCCAACGGTCCAGAAATTCCTGATCACCCCTCGTACTAAAGCATTGACTATATTATAACATCCTTCAAGGTTCATTCATTTTATATTGAAGGCACCTTTAAGCATATTTTGGCTAATTTATTTAATATTTCTATTGTTAATTTGTCATATACATTTAGGTTAGTTTGTATTTACATAATTATAGTTATACTACATGTACATATGTGACTTATCTATAGATATTGATACTTCTGAAACTTTAACTTTGACACATGCACTCGAAATTTTATGTTATATAATTTAGACCAAGTATTCAATGATTCTAGGTACAGTGAAACAATACTGAAGAATATAAAAGACATGTACATAAAGATAAGCTACGGGCTAACATAGATGACATAAATGACTAAGAAAGGAAATTCTGCGATGAAGCCCAATCGCCAAAAAAGGTGAGTTTTTAACTCAAAAATGTGAGCTTTATACCAATAGGACATCTATAGAAGGAAAGGTAAGTGAAATATTTTACAAAAACATTTTAGCCTTTTCACTCCTCGTCCATATTCTGAAAATCTGACCTTAGAATTTTGTAATAAAACTGAATAGAGTTTAATATTCAAGAATTAGACATTTCTGCATGCTAAATCTTAAAAAAATGTCATAATTTGACAAGTCATGTCAAATCGTCTTTGAGATATTGGGTTTATGTAAAGGACAAAGTGATAGCATGAATGAGTTGAAAATGTTGCTCACAAATTTTTTTAAAATAATGTTCTTTTGCAGATTCAACCTTTAATTTTATTCTCATACATGCCAGGCTTATATACATTTTCTACTTTTTAAATCAAAAATTATAGTGAAGAAATAGTGCCATGACACTTGATGCCTATATTCTGAAAAAACTAAAAATTTGATGATTTGGAAGGTTTCCTGGAAAATATGGAACGACAGCAGGGGACATGTAGACATAAAATCTATTTTGATAACTAATCTAACCCTAGGTCAGACCAACGCATTGTTATATCTTTATCATAAAGTGTAATACTAATATTTCATGTTTACAATACATTTGAAATTTTGATATTACATATCAACAGCCGCTTATTAAAGGTACTGTAAACAAGTTGACATTGAAGCCTTGTAAGTGAGTATTTGCAACAAGAGTCAACTTGCTAAATGAAAAAAAAATTCTGTCTAATTTAACAAATTCAAATAAAGCTTTTCTGAATTTGCATGTCAGTTTTCTTTTTTATCAAAATATTTAGTACAACCTCTTTCAAAAATGATTAAAAGATTACTTTTTTATGATTTCTCATATTTACCGAATTTCTTTGAATTGTAACAAATGAAAATAAACTATTGCCTAAACTTATGATTAATTTCTTTAAAGGATTTAAAGCTAAGCCAATCTGCCAATATAAGCTTTCATCCGATGCAATATTTTGGTAGGTCCTTAATCACCTTGAAAGGGAGAGAGAAAGCTTGTTTTAATAACCTACTGTGTGGATTCAATGAGGGGATTCTAACAGGGGTCAGCTCAAAATAGTGATATTTTAAGATGTATGAATTAAAAGGAAAATAAAATTCAGCCTTACACTGAATCAATTATATTAAGATCAATCATGTAATTTACAATTCAGTCTGAAAATCCATTCAAGTTGGCACAAATAATTGCATTCAGTAAAAACCATTATGAATTTCATGGTTGCCCCCTCAAAGTCACTTGACCACTTGTGTTATGATGGTCTACGGTCAAGCCTTAAGCCAAATTTCAAACATACTCATTGACAGCCGAATTTCAAACTCAAGTATTTTTCTGTAACATTGTCAAGGGTCACAGTAGACATTTAATTGCCTGTTACCACCTATAGTAGCAACTAGAGATATATATGTAGTTTGAGCATGTCATGATATAAGTGGTGTATAGTCTGTGTAGATTAATGAGTAAAGTTTTGGAGTTTGGATTTTTTTTCTCTGGATTAAGTGTTTAATTAATGGTTGACTAGTGATGTTGTCATCAATAATGGTAAGTAGTCTTGAGCATTAAATATTTAATATGTCACCACCAAAAATGGTGACATATTGTTATGGTTTGCAACCTTTTTTGTGGATGGTGTTTGGTGGTATCTGTAACAAATGGCAGGTGGTGACAGTTTGCATTTTAATGCCTTGTTTACATATTTTTTTTTATATATCAAATTAAATTATATATGTTTGATTTTGTTGATATTATTCTGATGCAACTATCCTGGTTTGGAATTATACAGCCACATTGCATGTGTCAAAATGTTAATAGTTGCTTTAACCATGGGCTCTCAATCTCTTGAAAGCCCATGCTTTAAAATGCTATACTGTTAACTACTCAGTTTCAGTTTTAAGGCAATTTAATTATAAATGAATATATGATTAATTTTGGATTCAGATGCCTTTTTAATGTAACTAAATATTCAATGAAAAGTTTCATTTTAATGGTCTTAATTATGATAATTGACTATAATGCTTAACTTTTTAGGAACAGTATGGATTCAAGGAAAATTGAAAATTCCAAGGTGCACAAAGGTCCTACAACGTCATCACGGATTATCAGTCTTCCCTTTATCCACCCTGTGAACCTGGCCCCACCCTCAGGTCATACCATGCCATCTATTCCCCAACCCAGTCAGCAAGGGGTCATACATACGCACAAGCCGCCATGTAACACATACAAGGTAAACTTATTTGATAAACCTGAAAATGTTCTCTTGTATGAATTCTCTGGACCAGCATCATATAATATATTCCCATTTAGATTCATATGGTGTTTGTAAGAGTGAGGGGGTCATGAGGGTTTGATACTTCCACTGAGGATAAGTAGATCTCTAGATATGTTAAAGAAATCTAATTGGAAAAATAGTGGTAGTAACATATAAAAATTCTCTGGAGACCCCATGGAAATATACATAAAAAATAGAATTCAGAATTAAAATCAATCCATGATATAAATATTACATTGAGGTCAATATCTTTACTTCTGCCCCCCCCCACTTCTCTTAGAATATGTATTGTCACCCCCAATGTACTGTTAGACAGTATTTGTGTACGAAACAGCTAAAAGATATGCCAGACTTCTTCAAATGATAACCATGAATTGATATGCCATATAGTATATGCACTTTTATGTTTGCATAGTATAATATTGCTGATAGTCTGGACTATTGAATCTCTTTTATCTATGTTACTAAAGATAATTTCAAACCAAAACTATGGTAAATATCAATTTTTGATTTCCTTTGTTGTGTTAACTTGCTAGATACTTGTTCTTTGGAAATGATCCTCTTGGGTATAAACTATGAATGTAATGAAATCGAAGGCAACTGAAAAATCAATCTGGGGAAAATGTTGCCATATACCCCTGAGGAAATATTGCATGACTGTATTCTAAGCTATAATAACATAAATAAAAGAAAGTCTCAAAGTCATTCTATCGCGATGAGACTTTGACCCGAAAATTTTAATATCAATCTATAAAGGGCTCCATTGAGTTTGGAAAATTGTTTGATGAAAGTTGAATTAAAAACACCTCCAATATAAAAGTTCATATAAGTCAGTTATTTGTTTCTCTTTTTCCTGAAGGAGTTTGGATTGATTTTTTCACTAACTTTATGAGGGTAAAATGTAAAACATAAACTGTAGAGTTGTTTATAAATATTTGATGAAATTGTCTCAAAGCAGTAAATCTGGTAAGGTAACGTCTGAGGAATGAGGATCAAATGATTATCAGTGCAGTGATCTCCCCAGAAATTGTTTTCAACTGGGTGCAACTTTTTTGGTCTGAAAAAAAAATCAAAAAATTTTGATGCGCTCACCACCTTCTCAATTTTTACAGCTTGTTAACTTTTCTACAGATAACATGTATTTTATCTTCAGGTCAATTTCAATAAACTGGAATTTACCAAACTCCCCTAATTTCTTAAAAGTGGACTAATCCAGTCGATTTGTTTGGAGCCGCCATATTGTTTTTATATGGGAAGCTTCACGTAACCCTTTAATGTCTCACCTAGCAACACCACTAATTGAATAATGGATGACCAAGCTACAATAGGCTCTTAGTTTAAACGATTGAAATCATGTTTATATGAATGATAAATATAATTACAACTTTGTTTGGAATAACAATCATTATTTTTCTATTTACATTAAATATTAGTTGTCTTATAAATTGGTTTCATTTTCTCTTTGAGTGTTCTTCAAAAACATGAATACCTGTTATAAGTTTTACTTTCCATCTTTTATACAAGAAATAATGAGGTTGTTTGTGATATGCCTCATGTTGGGCCACATATTTGGGAGCATTTCAAAAAATCATTCACGATAGAAGAATTGAAAGGGGAGTATGTAAGGGGTCACTTTTGCTTGGTTGGTTCAAACAATACTATTTACAACATTTGATATGTAACTACATTTAATTATATAAGTATAACCAAAAACTATGGAAAGTACATGTAATATATAGAAACAACTTTTATTCAAAAGGCAAATGAAGAATGGAAAACCCCAAGACTTACTGATAGATATGGTATTCTTTCTATTTCTTTTCTGTGCAAGTCCTTACCTGTAATGAATCACTTGTACTAAAAGTTGATAAACATTAACAAAACTGAATGGACTTTTCCCTCTTTAGCTACTTACCACCCAATGTAAATCTATGGGATACATCAGTATCATTTATTTACAATGCAATTTAGTTTACCACCACTTTAGCCTTTTAGAAGAATAGGAGGGGATCATCTCAAAACAGATTAATATCTTTACTTTTTAATGTAAATTATTATATTTATATGTTCCCTTTTATTCTATTTGTACATTATACATGTATATGACCTTGTATATTTGAGTTCTTTACTAATTTATGAAGTAAGTGGTGAGTTTTGCTCTCAGAAAATGTACTTGAGACACCCTGTCCCTGCTGTGGTGTGTGCTCTAGGTTCACATAAGGCTTGAGGGGTTGGAGAACAATTCCATTATCCGGTCTATCTGTTTCTGTGTCTTAGAATCTCGAAATGGACATTTGGTATTGAGCTAATGGCCAGACATACGAATATACGTCTTATATGTGAGCATTTTTTAATAGATTTAAACCAGTTGGTCCTTTTGCAGGTTTATATTTGCAAGTAAAAAGTGAGGCCTTAGTATCACTTAGAAATAACTGGTGATCTAAAAACATGAAAAGCATTTTTTTAAATGTTCTATGATAGATGCAAGTAAGTAGTTCCCAGTTTCACTACCAGGTGCCTGATTCGGGGTAATTAACTCGAATATTATCAGTTTAAGTGATCAATTTCCATGTCCAGTGAAAGAAAATATTATCTGCCCAGCACAAAGTCACATTTTCAAAGAAGATTAAATTTCGGTAACGTTGGCAGCGCTTGCATTAGGTTAGAAAATTTATGAGTCCCAAGGACACAATTTTTAAAAAAAAGTGTGTCCTTTGAAAAAAAAGTGTGTCCCCTATTTTTAGCCTGTTTTGAGGTATAACTTTATTTTAAAAGCATTTTTTACCAAAACACCTTTCAGTTTTTGATTTCTTGCCGCGAATTTAAAACGGAAGTAAACGTTAAGTATGGACTGAATAAATGCATGTTCGTTCATTCGACAATGAATACATTTTATTTCATGAATAACCTAATATTTGTTTCTGAATAGGAAAAACGGTGGCGTGTCATGGTTTCAAATCTAAAAATAAACAAAGTCGAAAAAATTCGAGAGAATCATGATTATTTGTAAATATTCAACATGTTGAGCCTTATTTACGATTCAAATAAAGGTGAGAGATCATAATTATTTGTTTTTGTTAGGTATCGTTGTAAACACATTGTAGTATTGACCTAAAAAAAAATTGCGTCCAAAAAACAGAAATATTTTCAATTTTTGCGTCCTCCAAATTATTTTTGAGTCCTTAACATGTACGGGACGCCGTTAATGCAAGCCCTGCGTTGGTAAATACTTTTTTAAACCACATTTCTAGATGCAATTTTACATATGATTTCAAATTTGATATTCCTTTTACTAAATTGTAAAAACTGAAATTAAAATTGGCTCAGCCATTTTAAAAATCAAAACCTTTTAGTATAACACATTTCGTCAATTCTTTTTTCTCTATTCTTTAAATATAAATACTTGAGAAAATGCCCACTTTTTAAGCGAATGTATTGCATGAATCTCAGAATTATGCTTCTACATATCATGAAACACCTTCAATTGTACAGGCTTTGTTTAATTGTTTTAGAAAATAAGGTTTCCTTTGATCTTGTTTTTCGGAAAGTAGCTTGAGTCTTTTTAATAATTCTAATCACTCCAAATGTAAATCACTATATCATTTCTTAAATTAAATTGTGATATAAATGAAATTGTTTCCTCAGGCAGTTTCATAACACTATCTGCTAAAATTGAGTTGCTCATATCAAGTTGGCCTGCTAGCCTAGCCGTGATCGTCTAGTGGTTAGGACCCCACGTTGTGGCCGTGGTAACCCAGGTTCGAATCCTGGTCACGGCATGGCCTACATTTTTTTAATGTGTTTAATAAAAACTTGGTTGGGATTGATTCTTTAAGTACAATAAAATCTGTATAAATGGAACATATTTTGTACCTCTAAAAATGTTCCAGTTGAGAGGTGTTCTACTTACAGAGGTTTATTTAACACTAAGTCAGTTAGCCCTGGCACTCTGAAAAGTGTGCCCCTTATGGAGATGTTCCACTTATAGAGGTGTTCCACTTATAGAGGCGTTTCACTTTACATGTTTTACTGTATTTTGCATGCAGAGTCAATGAGAAGAAAATTAATGACTTAAACAAAAAAAGATTAAAAACATGGATCATGAAAGAGAAAAAGTACTGCATTGATTAATATCACATAGAATCTTATTTAATCCTATCATTGTATTTTGACAAAGATAGATTTTTGAGATTCTATAGCTTATTGACCTTTCTATACTTATTTTCCTTATTTTGGTAAAAATCAGTTATGACTGAAATGTTCAAGTAGTTTTTAGCCAAGTGCTCAACCTTAAAATGGGCATGAAAGAAAGTTAAATTAAAGGATTTATCACCAAGGGCTTAAATCTAGATCCATTCCATTTTCACTTTCGCGTAAAAGGAAATTAAAGATTTATAATAGAAGATTATGGGATTAAAGTTTTATATGGGACGTTTATTGTTAGGTTATTGCATGTTGCTTTGATTTTGATCTTTACTCTTTTCTTTGAATAACAAGATCTCTTGAAACCCTTTTCAGACATAAATGACAAAATCACAGACCCTAACACATTTTAGGGGTACAAGGTATATGGCTCAATTTTCAAATTGTTTTTATTTGCAAAATATCTGAAATAAAAGTCAATTTCTGATTAAAATGAAGACCTAGGATTGATTATTCTGACTGAGGAACTATTCAAATTGATTTATACCATAAAGGTGATTGTAGTTAGGGAACTGTTTTTGATTTTTGAAAATGTTATTAGGATGTCTACATACCTTACACCCCTTGGTTGAGAGGATGGATTAAAGGAGATTAACCAAAACATTCTGCACACATCCGTGTCTTATATTATGTACTATATAGAAATGGCTACCTAGCACATACGAATTGGATATATATTTTTATGATTTTTTATTTATTTCACAGTTAAAATTGGATATGTATAACCCATATTTTGAGAAGAAACGAAAGGTAAGCAGGATATATGATTTTTATCCTATTTTAATGATTATGTTTATAATGCTACCATCAGAAAGGTATGAGTGAGTAAATTGGATGTGTTGATATTTTGTCTGGCATTTTCAAGAATTTTTCATTATAACAGGGTTGAGTGACTTATTGCCAATCAAACATTTATAGGTTAGATATCTGGGATAGATATACTATCAATCCTCGTAAATACTAAATAATGAATAAGAGATATGAAATAACAAGTATAATAGTTCAAGGATATGATTTGGTATGATATCATTCTGGTAAATATTTTATACTTTTTATAATTGGACAATTCTGGAATTTTGAATTATTTATGATCTTATATTTCCCATATATAACTGTTAATGACATAAAGTAATTTTTCTCTAAATTAGGTAACAATTACTATACATGGCATAAAATATTAATAACTAAAATAATATTAATTCAAATATATGTACAATTAATCATCACAAGTCAAACTTAATGCTCGAGAAAACTGTGATTGTTTGACTGATAAATAATAACAATATTTCTCTTATGTAATCGTGTTTAAATCTCCAAGTCTTTTGCTGATGTGCTCAGATCAGTATAAGATGTGTTGCTGACACCCTAAATATTTGCTTACGTCTGTATAAAAGATAGCTATGATCACTAAAACATAACTCAGTAATCTCCCCAGCATTAAAGCAAGTGGGCGTAGCACCCACCTGAGATTTTGAAAATAGGCTTGCACCCACCTGAAAATTCATTTGCACCCACTTGAAAATGAGAAAAAATCATGAAAAATTGGCATATTTTGACCAATTTTGGTCTAAATTGTGAAAATGAGAATTTTGAACCTACCTGAGAAAAAATACTGGGGAGATCACTGTAACTCAATGAGTTCAATAGAAAACATAAACATATACGATTGTGATAATAAGTTATTTATTCTAGTTCATCAGTTAAGTGTTTTTAGATGTAGAAAATATGTTATAGACCATGACGATCAAAGATCGCATGTTGTTTTGCCTATGAAACATCCATTGGTTCCATTAAGTGGGAAATGCAGATGTCAATAGTAACCCATATAAATATTTCAAGAGCAACATTCATCTTGGTCTGACGATGGAAACAACATAACATATACGTCTTGACTCAATGTCTGTATTAGAATATACTCCATTGTAACTTGTAGTCTTTTTAGAGGAAATCATTTATTAAGAAAATGGTTTAATAATTTTTAATGATATTAATTAGTTTTGTTTTCAAAATTGAAAGTTTTACCTTGAGGTGTAGCTTTTCATGGAAATGAGGGAAATCATGACTATGGCATCTTGTAACATAATGTTACATTCTGTTTATTTTAGAATTTTCTATGAATATGCTAAGCTTGATTTAGGCTTTATGTCATAAACGTGGATTTTACAATAAGTTCTTTAGAAACAGAAGCCTTTAAACTGCTGTCCAGTTGAGCTGAGTTTTTAAATAACTAATGGATGGTTTTAATTGGAAATATTTATAAAATGTAATTCTATAACATATATGTATGTAATGTATTACATACACTAGCTGTGAGGCTTGACATGATATTTAGGCAATGGTTTGGCATTAGCAATTGAAAAAGATTTGAAAATGTTGAATAGATGGCTCTAAGATTTTGAATATATGGAGAATTTAGATGAAGCTCAAGAAACAAAATAATAGAATTCAGCTTTGGTACTTTTGTTATGTAAAATGAAATTAAACCATTTAAAAAGACCCCAAGGATCAAAACATTTATGTTCATGTAGCATTGAAATTGTTTCCCAGCCATGCTCATTTTGGTGCCCCTTGCTTTCTATGCACATGACATTCATTAACAACTTTGATATGAGAGCCATCTATAGTTGACATCGGGAATGTACATCGGGAATGTACATCAGAAATGGCTACCTAAATGCTTTAAAAATGCCGCCGAAATATGTGACTTATCTCTCTAGCATTAATAGACTGTTATTTTCACAATTAAGACCTATTTTGCCCTATTTCTAGTTTGTTATTTGTCTTTTTAAGCAGCACAGCGAACATGGACCACGCCCTGAAATAACCTATGAGTGGCACTCGACCACCATTCCCTTCCCATCATTGCCCACGCTATACCAGCCATGGTATTTCACCGCTTAGTCAGTTTAACACACAAAACATATAGTGACTAAAAACGTTATTAAGTGATAATTGGCCAAATAATCAAGTTGCATATTAGAGTCTTCAATAATGATGTTGACACTGCTATACTATAATAATATAGCATGTAATACTATAATACTACATAACAGTATATAGACCTTGTGAACATAAGAAGGAATTACATACATGGTAATAGAAGGAGGGACATCTCTATATGTCTTGTCTGTCAGGGATCACATTTCAGTGATAAAATAAGAGAATGGACTTACTGCATTGGTTGCAAGCATTATGGATTTATATTAGGATAGACAGTACATGAATTTATATGTATATGTATTACTGCTAAATACACATGTGCAATTTTACATATTAAGTAGAAATTGAGTAATTGATTGTAAACAGAACAGTTGATTTTCTCATTAAATAACAAAGTCTCAAAAATATACTTATGAATGGTGAAAATTTCTAAAGAAATGCTGGATCGATGGAAATAAGTGTGCGATTTTATAATGTCGAATGATTTCTGGAGTAGTATCATTGAACGGAATAATATGACAAATAAACATTTGGCTTCTTCTTCTAATTCCCAGGTAAATATTATTATTTCATATCATTGTTTTGGTTACTATTTGATGAATTATGTAAGGGTGACCCTAAAATTCAAAGCTCACATTCGAGAATAAATCTCAATTTTGACGATTGACTGTTCAATGGAGCAAATTATGATATATTTATATACTACACCTTCCTGTATATATAATTTATACATGTAAAATGTACTGATGTTGTTTACTGGTAAATGTTATTATTACATATGTATTATATACAGGAAAAATACTACAGTAAAACCTGTCAAAGTGGAACACTTTTTGTCCCTCAAAAAAGTGTTACACTTAGGAAGTGTTCCACTCAGGAGGTGTTCCACTTGTAGAGGTTCATTTAAAATGAACTCATCTGGTCTTGGGACTCTGAAAAGTGTTCCGATAACAGAGGTGTTCCACATATAGGTGTTCCACTTTACAGGTTGTAAACAAGTTAATAGTACTACTGTTATGTAGGTAAAAAGTATGACATTTATTTGTACATATATTTGTAAAACATATACTGAAATGTAAATAATTCTATGAGCTATTTAGCTTATTAGTGAACATACTAACTTCATAACATACACAAAAATCCACAAAAAACACTTTCAAAGACTAAATGTGAATACTGTGGACATTCCTAAAATTCGTGAAATTAAATGTTATATAATTACTGTATTACATATGTGATGCGTGAGAGTTAATATTCCTTTGCTTTTCTCCAGAGCCCTACAACAGGCAGTAGTCACACAGGTGGCTCAAGACATCGTCATGGCAACTCAGAACAAAAGTCCTTCCAGACTCATTTCACAGCTCATGACAACAGACGGAGTAAACGCCAAAGCATAGGCTCAGTTACAGTAAATTCTGAGGTAACTTCATTTTCAAACAATATCATATCAAAAATTGGTTTCTAAGCTATTTCTAGAATGTCACCACATTATTTATTTAATTTTAGTATGATGTTACATATATTAGAGAATGACTCACAGCTGCTTGACTGCCGACGACATTCACTCTTGGCAATGATCTTGAAAAACGTAATGACATGGGATGATCAGTTAATTAATGACATTGCATATATTGTATTATGACATTAGATGTATTGTTCATGTAGTATGATATCACATACCATATTCCGCACAGTGTGTCTCTCCAAATTTTCACGAAGGAGATGTCTCAAATTACAAAATCTTGGGTATGTGTAGAAATACAACTCTAAATAATTCTTAATCTCTTCCAGAAACTCGTAGCAACAGTAGCTCCAACCACCACATTACCACAACTTGGTGGCAGCGACAACAGAAACACATCCAATAAAATAACAGCAGACAACAGCAATGCCCTCCCTAAGCTACGAGAGACCCAGGATACCCCAGGGGGACGTAGCGGTGGTCCCTCTAGAGGGGAAGGAAAGATAAAGATTGATCAAGATGGAAATAAGCTACCATTAACACCACAAGGTATTTATTAACTAAGCCTAACTAACTAATTATTATATCACCACCATTATTGTTATAGTCCTCACCTTTTTTATGGATGGTCTTTGGCATTTGGAATTCTGCATTTTGCAGTTGTGTCGGCATTCTGTGTCTGTAACAAATGGCAGGTGGTGACATTTTGCACATTAATGCCTTGTTTGTATGATTTAATAGAACAAGTCTATAGTAAACCACATGGAGTTTGGCTAAAAGTCTTCATAGAGGTGTTCACATTCAGAGGTTATTGTAAGCTTAGGCAGGACATTTGGAGTGAAAGTGTTCAGATTGAGGAATTAACATAAACACAAATCAAACAGTGGATAATGGTAGATTTGATTATTGGTGTATACTTGAAGACATTGTAAGACATCATATATTTGCCTCTATACAAACACATTGCCAGAAATACCAGATACATGTATTGATTTCTGATGTACTGATCTAGTATGTGTTTATAAAGCATATGTTCACCCAACATTTTCTAGCCCAGTGTATTTTGGATGCATTGAAATTTTACTCCATTAACATCACAACGTTTTGAATTATGCTATCAAACTTTAATTTTTTAATTTTTCAGATGCCTTGAAACTGTATAAAGACAGGCTGACTGTGTTTGAACAGACAGAAATCCTGGACTATCCTGAGATCTGGTACCTTGGGCTTGAGTGCAAGAAGGTGGAGGGTTCCCAGGGGGCTTCACAGAACAATGGCTATGATGATGAGCAAGGGTCATATATCAAGGTAAATAGTTTATTGAAAATATTTAAGTACTTGTATATTCTATGCTAAAGGTTGTAGTGAATATATAAGTCAGTCTACCTCATTGAGGATTGAACCCATAACCCTTGGTATTCATCTGATTGCTGAACAATGGTTACTATGTTGAATAAGGCTCATATGAACAGGTAACATCTTTACTAAATATCTAAGCACAAGTGCCAAAGGGAAAGGACCAAAAGTTGTAATGGAACTTAGCAAGAAAAAGCAAACTCTAAGTGCATACCAGTCAAGAAAAACAAACCCCATATATCCCAAAACCATGATCTAACGTGAAAAGTGTGTCTAATACCCCCTTTCCCCCACCATTTAAGAGCCGATATCACAGACCAGAACACCAAGGGTCTTACTAAGGTATTATCGCAATATAAATAACATACCATAAAGATATCCTTACCCTTTAAGCAGAATCTAGTTATAGATTATGAAGCTCTCTTTTAAGAAGCGAAATTGAATAAATGCAAAAGGAAGAGAGATTCTGTTTAAGATCTTGAAAATATCTTCAGTTATGTTGATGGCAGTTCATTTGTTGTTCACAATTTCTCCATGTGTGATTAAATGTGATGGTGTATTCAACTGCCAGGAGTCATCGGGCATTAACAATATTACAAGAAACAGACTTCTGGTGTGTTTTATCTTATTCCGCATGTCTGTAGCCATGTAGGTTTCATCAAGAGATGGCCCAAAGAATTTAAGAATTTTGTGTAAAATATGGTAGAAATATGCAAAAATCAAAAAATAGCCAAAACTTACTTAATATACCATAAATGGATTCTGATAAAAAAAATGACAAAAAGACTAAAAGGAAAGCTAAGTCTGATTTTTTTTGTGTATATTTATAGTTACTTTGGAGCCTGAGTGCCTCAAACCGCCCCTTTCCTCATGTAATGGGGCTACATGCCATCATCCTATTGCACATAATTAGGTGTGCTTAACAGTGTTGTGTTACCTGTCAACACCTGTGGCACTGTATAAGGCACTTTGATAATTATATTGAACAAAACTGCAAAAAAGCATCTATACTGAGGCCTATTGTGCATCTAATAAATAAACCTCTTTATGCTTTTTCCACATCAGGAAATAGGATATCATACATATAGTCAGAATATATTTTCATTATGAGAGAGTGAAAGTGGATTTGTTTTGTGGTTTAGCAGGAAAGTGTTTTCAATAGTATATGATCTGATCGCTTGATCTCAGGTATGTTATTAATTGACTTGCATTGAGGTTCCTGGGAATATTTTGTATTCTTAGAATGCTGTAGAATCCTGAAGGTAGTATTCATGCTATAAGACATTGATTTGATCTGTCAATAACTGATAACATTTGATGTGAATTTGTGAGGGCATGTGTTTTCAAGAGATAAAAATCTCTTCATTCAAGATCAATTTTGGAGCCATTAACTCTCTGAAGATATTTTCTGCCATTAATGTTTCAATGATATGTATAGGTTTTATCCTATTGTTGTGATTTATAAAAAGGGATCTAATTTCTGAGTGGCACTAGCACTACATAAGAGAAGGGAAAACCCCATGATTCAATTGATGACATACGATTTCCTCTTTCGCGCACCTCCTTTCAAGGAAGTATGTATATTTGTTTACCTTCCATCTTGGTTTTCAAAGTTTTCAAATTGACCTAGTTTTAAACCAATCAACGATCGACTCGCTAAACCAATCAGCGACGATGTCATCTCAATACAGATTTACATTATAAGCGTATGTCATCTTTGAACCCTGGGGTTTCTCCCCCTCTTGCACTACATATACAATGTTCTTGTTTTACTTCCTGTTGTTTCAAATGACCCACATTCCGAATTTACTTACTTCATTATTGAAGCAGAGTATACTATCCTTTATTTCTCATCATTTCACTGATCTATAATTGATATGATTATATTGGTAATGCTATAGAAATCTTCTACTTCAGTTGATTCTGTCTTTTAATAATGTATGATAGTATCATAATTAGGCCACCCATCCGAAACACATATGCCCAAGTGGTAACCTTGATTGCCTTTGGCTCTTAATCTAGCCAAATTGATGCTCTAACAATATTGATTTTGTGAAATAAACTATGTATGAAAAAGAGAAAAAGGATTTTATTGCTTACAGTAAAATCTCTGAATGCCCTTGGACCTTTGTTTTGCTAAATTCCACTTGGGAGTGTTTATTTTATGAAGGTGACTGTCCAATTAATATTTATCATGAGTGGGACTTAATTGAAGGGTTTCATTAACAAAGGTGTTTCACTTTTTAGTTCAACATTTTTAGTGTCAATGTTCTCCCCAAGATTTTTCTCAAGTGGGTGCAAAATTCTCATTTTCACAAAGTCATTAAGTCCAAAATTGGTCAAAATATGCCCATTTTACATGATTTTTATTCTCATTTTCAAGTGGGTGCAAATGAAATCTCAGGTGGGTGCAAGCCTGTTTTTAAAATCTCAGGTGGGTGCAGCGCCCACCTGCTTTAATGCTGGGGAGATCACTGTACATCATTCATGACATGATGTTTTTTCTTAATCATTGTTTGTGTTATTCTAGGTTTATGGCGATCATTTAGTATACAGATATGAGATACTGGACTTGCTAGGCAAGGGTTCCTTTGGGCAAGTTGTCAAAGCTCACGACCATAAAACAGACCAACAAGTCGCCATTAAACTTATAAGGAACAAGAAAAGGTAAGATAATGCATGGAAGAAATATTATATACTTCACAGTTAAAGGAATATTGCAACAAATACCTATTTGTGGTTTCCTGGATTCATTTTGGACCTATCACCTTCTCCAACAAACCTATTTTTACTTGAATAAGATATGTCACCAGCATGTCACTTAAACATGTGGTGTGCCATAAGAAATAAACATAATTTTCAAAATGTTCTTGAACTGTGAGTAGGGTATGGAAAGGTATCCAGGAGATGGTATAAAGGCATCCAATCTCAAAAATTGCTCAACAAGCTGGCAATTTAGACAAGTTGAAAGAAACTTAGCCAACATTTCAGCAAGGCGACTAAGACTAAAAGCTATCATCAAAGAGGGTGGTGGACCAATTGAACTCCTCTTTTAGATCAAATATAATTCAAGTTGACAGACTTGTTACATTATATTATTACTTAGAACCCCTGGCACTACATAACTGCAAGATTCGGTGTATGTAGGTCGGAAAATAAAAAAGTTATAGTGTCTTGAAAAAAAGTGGTGTTTTTTGGCCCACCCTGTAGAGTTGATTAACTTTTGGGTGGCCATCTTGTTTTCTGATGGCCATTTTTGAAATCTGATCATCTGCTTGTGGTGTTTGATTTCATTCAACACGTCATGTGCCTTGGATCCTCATCATTACTAATAATAATGTCAGCTAAGGTTACACTTACTCTACATATTATTACAAAACATTTATGCTGTTGTTTGCAGATTTAACCCATATATTTCAGAAATTAGTTTTTTCAATCGTCAACCTTTTGTTGGAAATTTGCTCATTATTTTGAGATACTTTGGACATGTTGGATGAATTTTGAGGTTCATTCACACTAACACCCATTTACCAAGAACTAGTTATAACATTAAGTTTTGTAAAAAATACATTGCCTAATCTCTGTATTTGCTTAAATTGCGATAACTGAAAATAAAAATTTCATGTTTAAGGTCAGTACTTCTATCCTATGCTGTAATCTAAATAATGTGTTTTAGATTGACCCCTCACTTCCACTTATGTTTCAGAACACTGTTGAATAAAAGTTTGGTTCTTTTTGAAAATGGATTTTCTCAAACAACAGTAATGGTTTTGTGGTGCGCAACCTCTGCAAAACAGATTGAATCATTAATTTGACTACATTAATTGATTTTATAATTGTATTTGATTGAATTTTAAATAACAATTCAGCAGAGAGATGAACATTCATAGAATTATTATTGATAATGTATACGTGGGCCTAGATTGGTAAATTGACTTTATCGGCAACTTCAAACATATTTGGATTCTTTATACATTGTAACAATAAGACTTATGTTCTGGAATGCAAAGCAATCATTGATGGAAGAATCTCAAAGCTTTTAGCAAAGCAAAAATATATTGATGTTTGATTTACATTCACTAATGAAATAAGTGAGTATATTGTCTCTGTTGAATGGATCTAATATCAGTGAGAGTGGTGATATATTTAGAGGTTATGTCACTATGACGTGAAATATGCCTGAGTTCTCCCAATATAGGCCGACCTTGGGAGGCTCTATATTTGGGCAAGAACGAAGGCATATTTCACGTCATAGTGACATAACTGATGTATTACATGCCTTTGTTCCCATGGTTACTTTGTATCAATGACGTGACGTCATGATATTATCATGGTTATTAAAGAAATCTAATATCAAAACGAGGTAAGCGGGCTATATCGGGGTAATCGGGCAATATCGGTGGATATAGCTCGCTAACTTTCCCATTGACTTCCATACAAATGCTTCGCTAGGTATGTAATACAAACACATACGTCATGCTCAGCTTGAAAATGCACATATTGATCAGTTTTCATTTCATATATAATATTCCATAATATTATTATATTACTATTGAAATATATTTTGTATTGTTAGTACCTCAGTTGAAATACTCGATTTTGATTGGTCAACGAGCGGTGAACAATTTTAACTGTACACCGCGCAATGCATTGCCGGTGAATAATATTCCCAGCATTCCACTAAAATGACGTCATTATCAAACGATAAAATGGCCGCCGCTAGCACTAGCCGTTTCAAAAATGTTGAAGATGAGGATATTATTAGTCTCTTAGAGAGTAAAGACAGTCAAAATACGAAGAAAAATCTAAAACTTTGTACAAAGCTTTTAGTGGACTTCGCCCAGGAGAGTAATTTGACTCCATTGAGTGAACTTACTGCCGATATACTGAAATACAACATGAACGTCTCGAGGGTCTGGATCCAACTTCAAGTCAACTTCAAGGGTCAGAAAAATCTAAGATATTCTTCGGACTAACAAAACAATTATAGACCTCTCCATTCGGTTTACTGTCAAAATTATATCCCTCGACTGTAAACCTCGACCTACGGTCTCGGTTTACAGTCTCGGGATATAATTTTGACAGTAAACCTCTGGAGAGGTCAATAATTGTATATAGTATTTTTATATTCAAATTTTTTCCAATTCATGAGAAGGGATTGAATATGGGATCTATTCCGAGGAACAATATTTTGATATTGATCGAATGGTAGTATCCTCTGTTTTGTTGATCGCTAAAGAATGTCTATAAGAAAGTCTATATAACACAGAATGAGATTCAAATAAGAATATTGTTCAATTCCACGGAATTAGCTACTTGCATGTTTTCGTTGAATTAACATATAGAGTTCTTAGTTTTTATTGGAATCAACAACTAATTCATTGTGATATTTGCTTATTTAAAGTCATTAAATTCCTATATCTCCCCAAAAGACCTTTTCAAAGAATAAATAATTCACGGTGAGTACAATCACATGCAGATTTCTTAATCAGCTTCTTCTATAAATGGCATTCAGTATTTTGACATGTGAGCCTCAAGGAAATTAATATTTTATATCTCCACAAAACAAGTTCATCTTAAACCATCTAGGGATCATACTAGAGCAGTCAGAGACCTGCATATACTGATTGTGCATTGATGATTGCTCTAATTGGGTGTGCTGTCTGAACTTATCATGAATCATCTAAATGGGGCTTTTAAATTATCTTTGATACCTGTTCTATATTACCATACTTTGGAACTACATTATGTGGAGGAGGGGAAGACATGTTCCCTGGTGTACAGTTTAATTAAACACCTTAAGTGACCTCATACTATACTATATGATTAAGTCCCAGTGGGAGAGTTTTTGTTTATTCAGTCCAGTAAGGTTAAAGCCTATGAGTAAATTAATCCTACATCTCCCAGGTTGGGACCTAGGAGCACATTCTGGTGACAGGAATGTGAGACAGCTCTCCTAGGGATCCTTATATTTTGCCTTTTTTTGTTTCATTAAATCCATAATTTGTTTATTTTTAGAATATCGTTATTACCTTTTAATAATAGTATCATCTGAAAACTGCTGGGGTAACTCTTTTTTTTACAAGGTTGAAAGTAATAGGATATATAGGATTTTGTTTTATTTAAATGACACTGACTTATTTATATGTGAATTTGAAATGGATAGATCAAAGTTCTACATGGAATGATGGATGTTTTTGTGGTAATGTACATGTACATGTGTATTATTATATATCTTGCAACATATCTAAATATTCTCCCTATTCTAAATATTGAATAATTTGTATTGTCAGGTTCCACCACCAGGCCCTGGTTGAAGTAAAGATCCTTGATGCCCTGAGGCGAAAAGACAAAGACAACCAGCATCAGATCATACATATGGGAGAATACTTCTACTTCCGCAACCATCTCTGTATCACCTTTGAACTGATGGGGTATGTACCAGCTCATGACTAGAGCCATCACGATACGAGTATACCACCATATTGAATCTCTTTCGATCCTAAGTCAGAAGGCATAATTTGACCAAGCTAATTCTGATCATATTGTTATGATCGTACAATGGTATTATTTCCCAGTGATAAATGCCAAAGAATAAGTGATATTATATCATACCCAGCAAAGTCATTGTCCACCATTTTTATGGAGTTGAAATTGATCTATATTATTTGTCCTAGCCTAAATGACTTCTTTGTATAGGTAATAAGATATCAGTAAAGTTAAACGTCATTTGTAGAAATTTTATTGATAGTGTATTGTCAAAGCAATTATCTCATACATATTGTTTTTTATGCTGATAATGATTATACGTCTAAAATAAAAAAAAAGTGAAAATGATCCATTTCCTATCATTTATGTTTCTTGACACTTTAATGATGATGAAGATAAAACTTATGAAGCGATGAAATTGAGAAAACACATATGAGTATGAAGTGATAGCACATAGTGATAATACTTGGGGTTCTCATTTCTCCATCTCATTCCGACAATTATTTCAATAATATACAGAAATAATGAATTCAATGGAGAAATGATATGGTATTTACACTCATTAATTCGTTTCTAAACCCCAACAAATTATTCAATCTCAAAATTAGCAATCTTCCATACTCTAGTTTTGTTATTTATAAATACACATATGAAGGGATAACACTGATAATGCAGGGTATATTACAGCACTTGTCAGTGTCTTGTGCTGATGGATGGACATGCATTTATTGTCTTCAAAATACCAACAAACCAATTATCCGTTTAATTTGAGATTAACACAACAAAAGTGGATAAATGCTAGGACTAGCTTTTGTGCATGCTTGTTTATTTTTATTTGGCCATTTTGATTTTTGATCCTTAGGTGTGATATTTACCACTGTGTCTTGTTTTATACTGAGTTTCAAGTTTCTCATCTATTGTAGGATGAATCTCTATGAGTTAATAAAGAAGAACAACTTCCAGGGCTTCAGTTTAGCACTGATCAGGAGGTTTGCCTACTCACTACTGCAATGTCTCAAGGTGCTGCATAAAGACAAGATAATCCATTGTGATCTCAAACCAGTAAGTGTTCAACTAGAACCTTTTTTTATTTTTTTAATTTATATATTATTTACAAATACAACATTAGCTTATATGAGACTACTCTACATGATTGAGTATTTGACAATTCTGGATTTAATTTTCAAGGTTCTAGATTTTGATGCTATTACTTATTTATTAGTGATCTACATGGACAGTGTTCCTATGTTGTGGACAAAAAGATATAATTTTTGTTATTGATTTTACAATAGGCCTACATAATACTTCAATGATCAATTTGTTCATCTTAGTTTTCCAATTGTTTTTCAGGAAAATATTTTACTACGGCAACGTGGGCAAAGTTCAATCAAAGTGATCGATTTTGGTTCCAGTTGCTATGAACATCAAAGAGGTAAATGCTTGCTTTAAAGTGGTATATAATTTTTTTTATATATATACTCATTAGGACTGTTATTTGAAATGTCTTGAAAATAAAAACGTTGAATTATTGTATTTATGACAACATCTTTTGCCACTACACTATACAGATTGAACTGCATCAAATGTCCAACAAAAGTTATTTGTTTAAACAGTTGATTTAAAGATGACAGAAGTGTTGCTCATAGTGAAATTAATTCTCTTTCGTTATGTGAACAGGTCGATTGTACTGCCATCTTTTTATGAATCATACTAAGTATTTTATATTGCCTATTACCTTTTGGTCTAAGAACCAAACTCAAGATTTTTAACATCTCATATCCCTTTTGCCTAGACTATTTTTGATTAAAATATATTGTACATCTTTATTTTAGTTTACACATACATTCAGAGCAGATTTTACCGATCACCCGAGGTCATACTGGGAATGTCATATAGCATGCCAATAGATATGTGGAGTTTTGGGTGCATCCTATCTGAGCTTTACACTGGTTACCCTCTGTTCCCAGGGGAGAATGAAGTGGAACAGCTCTCATGTATAATGGAAGTCTTGGGAATGCCATCACCGGAGATTCTTGAGACTTCATCAAGGAAACGTTTATTTTTTGGTATGTTGCTTTTTTCATCATCTCATTATTTATTATATACTTGCATGTGAGGCATGATATCAATTATAGAATTGAAGGGATCTTTAATACAAGAATGTATCAATACTACAATATTGACATGTGTTAATCAATCAATGATTTGTTTGACACATCCCCCCCTTCCTGTTATAAACACAGTATTTATTAATCACTTTGTATATCAAACTAATTCAATGTTTGTGTTAAATCTAGCACTTTTTGAACTTTTATCTTAGAACAATTAAATAGAAATATATTATTTATTTCAGACTCTAAGGGGTCTCCAAGGTGCATAACAAACAGTAAGGGGAAGAAAAGAAGACCTGGCTCAAAAGATCTTGCTCAAGCCATCCGAACGAGTGATGCACATTTTCTAGACTTTGTTAAACGATGCTTAGAGTAAGTAGTATTTGAAATAATTTGCCTTCCTTGTATACGTATATATATATATAATCAATGTATTTCCCAAGATCTTCAAGTGAATAGTGAAGAGTCACAGTGAGTCACAACCCTAAATATAATAAAAAAGGCCCTCTAAGAATCTATAAAAGATCTTTGAATGATGTTTTTAAATAACCCGAAGAATCTTGTTCGAATCTTGAAACTGCTTTGAAAAATTTCATTAAAAGATTTGATATAAACTTGAAGGATCATGCACAGTAATGTAAACACTGTGCAGCAAGCTTGTTACAATTGCTCCCTTGCTGTGTTACAGATGGGACCCCAGTAAGAGGATGACTCCAGATGAGGCACTGCAGCATGACTGGATACGAGAGGGACTTGTACAAAAGCCAGCTAAAGATAGCAAGTCACGCCAGAGAAGGGATCCTGAGGAGTCAAAGCCAGCAGTTACTAGTCAACATCCAGATCCCTATAAAACAGCTGCACAACCCCCTGTCAAAGGTAGTCCCACAGTTATATGCTCAAAATCGGAATCTTTTATCTCGTAAATATTCAGAAATGTCACATGCAACTTGCGTGATTGCAGCTATGAACCATTCTAACACCAATCAAATTTTAGTATTTGAATTGAGAGTTTAACAATGAGAAAATGTCCTCAGCCCTGGTAGAGTGTGAGTTATATAACATCTTACTTATTTGTGCTATAATGCTTTACATGTTTGTTTATCAGAGAAAACTCGGACGGAAGAGTGGAAACTCTCAATGAGGAAGCAGAGTGCAAAGCACAAAGAGAGGCTTCAACCCATAGGGGCAGATAATCCCACAACACATGAAGAATACTCACAAGGTAATGTTATAATCACATGGACAAGTAATGATATTTGTATTTTTGCTGAGCCAGTTCAGTCTGTTATCAACAATTCATCATGCCCTGCTTTTTATGGATGAAAAGAAAAAACTTATTATTGTGGATGTAAAGAAAAAAACTTAACTTTTATATTTAATGCCTATAGGATATAACATAACAGTACACGATTTCATTCAAAGGAGGAGAACATTAATGACATCTTTTAATAAACTTAAAGATAATCATATAAAATTAATAATCAATGCCCAATGTTTAATATACATACAGTATGTAACCTTGTTGTGTTACCTTCCAGTGAGTACCCAGAACACAGGATGCAATAAAAAATACAGCTCAGACTCTACCAAACATGACAGTCACAATAGCTATACAGCTACTCAACATTCACAGAACATGGATAGTGACTCTGCCAATAGACTTCCACCAATCAAGAAGCTATCGTGATCTTAAAGTGCAGCATGTTATCCGCAGTGTTTCTAGTATTTCCAGTCAATTTCTTGAAAATTAAAGCAGTGTTTGTTTAATGATGGTTACATTACATATTGACAACTATTTTTGTGAAATCTAGCTGCTCTGTAAGAAGCTTTAAGAGTTAAGGAGTTTATCATTTAGAAATTCAAGACTGGAAATATTAACACCTCTGCTGCTAACATGGTAGGAATGGGGAATGAAAAATCACACATATCACCAAATATTGCTCAAACTTGGATGCATCAAAAATGACAAATCAAGTAATTCAAGGACTCGTTCATTCTCTAAATACTAGGCTCATAACTGACGTTTAATCAGATGGAAGGAATGAAAGGCCTGGTCAGAATATCAATGTATTCTAGTGAAAGTAATTAAGAATAAGGCAAACTTCTTTTAAAACCTACATGTTTATATCTCTCCAAAATAAAGTTACTGCATAATGGTACATTGCTGTCTGACCTGAGCCCTCAAGCCTATAGCTAACCTTTTCAGAGGATGAATCAGTATTGGAACTTTATTATTTTTCATTAGCTTCAATGCTATATTTGGTAAATGGGATTTAGCCATACATCTAGCCATAAATGTGCAATATATTTAATATTACTCACAGTGAAGCAAGGTTAAGTCGGGGCTGACCAAGTCTATGTGGCAAAAATGTGGAGTTACAAGCCTTTAAGTATACAAGCCTTTAAGGTGAGCTGTAATTGGTTCCTCTTTGGCTTACTTTTAGGCAATCTATGTTTGGATTTGGGAATTGGGAATTGCACTTAAATGGTGAAGGGATGGTGAATTGCACTCTAATGTAGAAGCAATTGGGAATTGTACTTGAATCTTGAAGAAACTTGGTATCGCACCCAAATGAACATTAAAATATTTGTCATTTCTAAGCCCTCGCGTCAGAATTGTAAAATTCAGATATTTGCAACATAAAATTTGAAAAAAACTGGGGAGAGACATTAAGGAAGCCCAGAAGCATTTTTGTCCCTTGGTTAATCCTGGGTGACTGGATCACACTGTGGGTGATAATAAAATAAATAATAAAGTATAGGACTACGTAATTATCAGCTAGTCTGAACAAAGTATATTTTTATCAAATACACAAGTAGTGTTATAATATTCAAATGTAATAGTTTTGAAAGGTTGTTTTAAGTATTTGTTTTTAATTTATTAAAGCTTGTTTTATCTCATTGACTCGTAATAACTTTAAAAGTTTGGTTCAAGGAAAGATCTGAAGAGTGCTGTGTATATGTATGGCATACAGCAGTTGCGTATATGTATGACATACATCATCTTTGTATATGTATGACATACACCATCTTTGTACATGTAGGACACAGCACCTTTGAACATATTTGATATACAGCGTTTTTGTACATGTATGACATACAGCATCTTTGTACATGTATGACATATCATCTTTGAACATATCTGATATACAGCGTTTTTGTACATGTATTTATAAGTACTTTGTACAAGTACCATAATCCACTACTATGAGGCATTCACTAACTACAGAATTAATTTCAGAAATGTATGCATAAATACAGTATTACAAAACAGTTACATGATATTTCCAATGTAGATAGCGCTTACATTTTCTGGAAATAAGATCACTCAACTGATTTTTATTAGGATTTATTAGTTTCTAATTTTGTGAAATATTTTAGTCTACTTGGAGTTGACATGTTTTTACATGGAACCAGAAATATTGTGAAATTCAGTCACCATGTACATAAATTAACACAATGTACAAATATTCATCGCAAATTGAATAGAAAGTTCTGTAAAACCTCCCTGTAAAGAACACCTCTCTACAAGGAACTATTTCAGCCAGTACAGAGAACATTCTCTGTAAAAAGGTTTCACTGTATTCACGCTCACGGTCAGTCCAGTATATTTTTTGCACATCAAGAGAAAAGGGTAATGTTGAATGTTAATTTCTGAATGTTTGCTCAACCAAAGCCCTCTGACAGGGTATCTTAATAGCATTCCTTCTGGAAAGGAAAAGAATATGTAGAATATATTTAAATAAATGTGAACTATATTAATGATATGAAAAAAATTTCTTTGGTTAATTTATTTGCATATCAGCCCATATTGTGAATAACCCATTACGAGGAGAGCTCGTGGCATTCCTAGACATTGGGAGTTCGAGAGTATAGAGTATTTTGTTCATTTTTGTTGTATTATGAAGGTCAGAACTCAAATTTGAGGTCAGATGTGAACTCCTGAGAACTTGTACATGATTTAAAAAAATGTTTTGTCAATTTGAAGCAAGCTGAAATCAGTTTTGAACAAAATACTGCAATCGGTCGGGCGACCGGCCGAAGAATCGGAGCAAATGTGACCTAGGCATCAGGTCCGATCATAGACCGGCGCCCGTACGATTGAGTATTTTTTCAGAATTTTATTCATTTTTGAACAAAATACTCAATCGTAGGGGCGCCGGCCGATAAATCGAGTATATGTGAGCTAGGCATTAGCGAGTGGTCCAGACAAAAATAGTTCTAATTAAAACCAATGGTGCAGTAATACTAAAAGAAGGCATTAACATACAAAATGTCAGCACATGCCATTTGTTACAGACGCTGGTCGCCACCAATTGATTGCCATGATTAAGACTATGACAATATGTCATCGTCTGGTGGTGCCATTTGTTACAGACGCTGGCCGCCACCATCCGATTGCCATGATTGCAAGATGCCGTACACCGCCCAAAAAAAGTTGGAGACTATGACAATATGTCACCGTCTTGTGGTGCCATTTGTTACAGACGCTGGCCGCCACCATCCGATTGCCATGATTGCAAGATGCCGTACACCGCCCACAAAAAGTTGGAGACTATGACAATATGTCACCGTCTGGTGGTGACATAATGATAAATGCATGACACATTTTTAAATGCGATAAAATTTAACCCATCATGCGTAAAAACGTTTACTTGCTGGAAATGAGAATAAGAAGTACTGTGTTTAACAGAAGATAATATATTTGATAAAGTAAAAACTTTCGTTACTTACATGGCGGGAGGTTGAAATATTTGAAAGTTAAAACGACCATTTTTCAAAGGTATATTTTTCAAAATTCACGAGAAATAAATAAACAATATTTTCAAATTTTGCACGGGCATTTTAACATCCCAATCAATCAATCATAAAGATAAAGCTTACGAATAAAAAGTAAGGTGACCATGCTTTATGGAAATAATAAAGATGACATCTGAAATTAACGATAGCTTATACGTTTTCAATTAATTCTGACGTATATTGAAGTAGAAGTTTATATTTCATATAAACCATGGCAGATAGTAAATAAGTATCATGGCAGAGACTCGATTTATATAAAAAAGACAAATAAATAAACAAACCATATATTAATTGGAAAATTGTAGTAAATAACATTTTTGTAGCTTATTGTTTTGAACTGTTTTGTCTCCAAGTTTATGTAAATTGCAAATTGCGATTTTAATCTAATTTGTTGATGTGCCTGATTTTTTACGATGAGTAATGTTGAAATGTTAGCATACTTTAAATAAAATCCCTATCTGTCAAGCCACGAGAGGTCGAAACAGCTTAGCTTGTGAACCAGACACGTGCTAGCAGAGTCATGAATATAAATTACTACATACACCAATTAATAACAACAAATTACCGTTCGAGAGTATAGAAGCATTTATTATCTTGGAATTAAATTCCCAAGACTATCGAACAATTCGTTTTCAAGGTACAAGGTGACACAAAAGAAAAACTAAAGTAAAGAAAATACCAATAACACAGAATAAATCGCATTGTACTATCGCAGCTGATTTCTCCAAACCCATGTCCAGTGAGCATTTATAACAACTACCCCCCCCCGCCTTATCAGTAAAACACAAACAACACAAATAGACCTGGATCATATAGAATATATCCTTCTTCCAGAATCATTGGTATATTTCATATATACGTATATATCGTCTATAAAGATGTTAAGAACTTTACTGGACCAAGTGCCCGAGTGTCAAGCGGTATCAATGCTTTTAGGACCATATGGGAATCCAACTTACTGTTTGTATTTGAATTTTGAATATCATGTGATAGATCCATATAAGGCTGTATGACCATGTTATATTTAAACACGAATTGATAATATACCATCCATGACAACAGGACTGGAGAATCATACTGGAAATTCATATCTAACATAGATGAATTGGAGTTAATATAGGGAAGTGTAAAATTGTAATTGATATAGAGAGTTGAAAAATTGAAACGATTGTGATTTGTGGTATACTCCTCATGTGTAAAGCACAAAAATTCGAAGAAGTTCACGCCAGCATCTCAAATCACAATTATCTTTACATTTACAAAAATTGAAAACTGATTATACGTACAAGATGAGAACTACTTTAACTTATCTAGACTTTAACGGTGCTAAGCTGAAATTTTCAGCGAGATGCAAGAATTTTAGAAAAAATTATGAAACATGGGACATAAGTAATGGAATATGCAAATTTTGCAACAAAAAGTGAACGATACAATTCGCCCTCAGATTACTGTTATGTCCCTTTCCACGAAATATACGTTTTACAATAATGTTAATTTATATGCTTCAAGTAATCTTTGTGCAATGATGCTTGTATGTCAAGCAGTGATCAAAATATAATGACCATGCTTGGAGATAATATAAAACGGGGCATGGCATAAATTTTAGTGTCGACAAAATTGTCAAACAGTTTTTAAACTAAGGAATGTATGCGTTTAGTGATTTCCATTTAATATTTCACAGTGTTATTGATATATGTAGACGAAGGGGATGCTGTTTTAAAAGCATATGTCTATAAATAAAAAGTATGCAAGCAGTGATCAAAATATAATGACCATGCTTGGAGATAATATAGAACGGGGCATGGCATAAATTTTAGAGTCGACAAAATTGTCAAACAGTTTTTAAACTAATGAATGTATGCGTTTAGTGATTTCCATTTAATATTTCACAGTGATCAAAATATAATGACCATGCTTGGAGATAATATGATATAATTTATGGCATTAAATTTAGTGTCGACAAAATTGTCAAACAGTTTTTAAACTAAGGAATGTATGCGTTTAGTAATTTCCACTTAATCTTTCACAATGTTATTAGTATATGTAGACGAAGAGGGATGCTGTTTTAAAAGCATATGTCTATAAATAAAAAGTGCAAGCAGTGATCAAAATATAATGACCATGCTTGGAAATAATATGATATAATATATGGCATTAATTTTAGTGTCGACAAAATTGTCAAACAGTTTTTAAACTAAGGAATGTATGCGTTTAGTGATTTCCATTTAATCTTTCACAATGTTATTAGTATATGTAGACGAAGAGGGATGCTGTTTTAAAAGCATATGTCTATAAATAAAAAGTGCAAGCAGTGATCAAAATATAATGACCATGCTTGGAAAAAATATGATATAATATATGGCATTAATTTTAGTGTCGACAAAATTGTCAAACAGTTTTTAAACTAAGGAATGTATGCGTTTAGTGATTTCCATTTAATCTTTCACAATGTTATTAGTATATGTAGACGAAGAGGGATGCTGTTTTAAAAGCATATGTCTATAAATAAAAAGTGCAAGCAGTGATCAAAATATAATGACCATGCTTGGAAATAATATGATATAATATATGGCATTAATTTTAGTGTCGACAAAATTGTCAAACAGTTTTTAAACTAAGGAATGTATGCGTTTAGTGATTTCCATTTAATCTTTCACAATGTTATTAGTATATGTAGACGAAGAGGGATGCTGTTTTAAAAGCATATGTCTATAAATAAAAAGTGCAAGCAGTGATCAAAATATAATGACCATGCTTGGAAATAATATGATATAATATATGGCATTAACTTTAGTGTCGACAAAATTGTCAAACAGTTTTTAAACTAAGGAATGTATGCGTTTAGTGATTTCCATTTAATATTTCACAGTGTTATTAATATATGTAGACGAAGAGGGATGCTGTTTTAAAAGCATATGTCTATAAATAAAAAGTGCAAGCAGTGATCAAAATATAATGACCATGCTTGGAAATAATATGATATAATATATGGCATTAATTTTAGTGTCGACAAAATTGTCAAACAGTTTTTAAACTAAGGAATGTATGCGTTTAGTGATTTCCATTTAATATTTCACAGTGTTATTAATATATGTAGACGAAGAGGGATGCTGTTTTAAAAGCATATGTCTATAAATAAAAAGTGCAAGCAGTGATCAAAATATAATGACCATGCTTGGAAATAATATGATATAATATATGGCATTAATTTTAGTGTCGACAAAATTGTCAAACAGTTTTTAAACTAAGGAATGTATGCGTTTAGTGATTTCCATTTAATCTTTCACAATGTTATTAGTATATGTAGACGAAGAGGGATGCTGTTTTAAAAGCATATGTCTATAAATAAAAAGTGCAAGCAGTGATCAAAATATAATGACCATGCTTGGAAATAATATGATATAATATATGGCATTAATTTTAGTGTCGACAAAATTGTCAAACAGTTTTTAAACTAAGGAATGTATGCGTTTAGTGATTTCCATTTAATATTTCACAGTGTTATTAATATATGTAGACGAAGAGGGATGCTATCTTAAAAGCATATGTCTATAAATAAAAAGTGCAAGCAGTGATCAAAATACAGTGTGTCCCAAAAAAAAGGAAACCGGCAATAGATTGCTTATTTCTCAAATATGAATAACAATAGGAAAATTCTTAGCTACCATCTGATAGGTTATGATGTCCTTTTTCTTATGATACCAAAGGTGTTTATTTTTCTTCACGGTGTCGACAAAATTGTCAAAGAGTTTTTAAACTAAGGA